AACACAATCATGGGAAGATAAATATAAAATAAACAAATAGAAAGAAAATTAAAAAAATCGACCAATAGGTAACAAATGATCGTATTATTGGATCAGATTATGGCGGTGGGTTAAGTTTAGTATAGGCAATACACCGTTAATCTCTACCTTCTTCCTGTTCACAGTTATCTCGGCCTTTGCTCCCTCTCTTGTTATTACCTTCTGCCTCTCACTGTATATTGTTTTCAGCCATACTTCTCCACCTTTCTCTCTTCTTCTTATTATATAATCCACACGAGGACCCGCACATTAACGTAAGGATCACGACTTCATGTTATGTATGACTCTAGGATATGCCGACATTGTTGGGCTATTTCCCGCTATCCTTTGTCGAATTGGCTTATTTTTTACTATTGTTTGCATATCAGCATTGTGTATGTATATTGTTTGTATACATGCAGTCTATCCTGTCTATGTATATTGTATAGCTACAGTATGCGTACAGTACTGGCAGGTGGGTCGAGGTCTATATGCAGCCACTTCCATCATCCTTTATAACTATAATCTATATATAACTGTGTGAACCCGCACTTGTCTTCCTCACGATGATGTGTCATATTAGTTCTATAGTGTTGTCTCACGCCACAACTATCTATACAGTACAATGATTACCCGTGTTGTTGGGGGACACCAACTACTGTAATGGGCCGCTGTCTCATCAACAGAACATATTATATAAATGGGTCAATACATCTGATATTATATTCAGATTCACCACCCTGTAACTTTCCACTGTCTATGAGTATGACATGAGTTGTATACGTGAGCGGGCAACTCTCCCAGGAGGGAGTGACCCAAAGACAGCATTTCTGTAAGCCCGCACAGCGAGGCCCTCACTCTTCAGTCGCTCACAACAACTTATATAGTAAGGACGTGACCAAACGTTTATAAGACATAAACGCCGTCCCTTTCTCATTCACTCCTATACAGTGAGACTTACGGTCGATCTACACTCAGGAATTATATATACAACCCTTTTATAATAAAACAAGGAACTACCGTTTGGGTTTCGTTACTTAAACCCAAATAATAAATATATGTGAACGGCCTGGTTAATTGCACAAGCAGCCGATTCACTAGGCCTACTACTACTAACACCACTACTTCCCCTTCCCGGGGATCGAACTCGGGTCTACTCGCTTGCGAAGCGAGCACAATAACAATTACACCATTTTCTTCAATGAAAGTTTTCTCTAAATTTACCCATAACAGAGATACAGGGTCGGGGTTGATAGCTGAAAACAGACCTGCATAATCTTGCCTCCCCGTTATCATCCGCCTTGCGGAACCTGACTTTAAATATCTCGGCTCTGGGTCGTTTGGGAGGGAAACGTCATAGAAGAAATGTGTCTTAGAAATGTCTGAACTATTAATTATGATGAAAAAATTCTGATATTCGGTTGATGACAAGAAATGCAATAATACGTACTGCAGTACCTTTTCTAGTATTCATTATACAACATGGAACCAGATTATTACAGCCGGACCCTCGGAAATTTGAGAAGGTTTCAGATGGGGAACAAAAGTTAGGTCGATGCTGATCAAACTGCTTGTGGTAACTTGTAATAACTTTCATTAGATGCAGTTTGGTTAGAGTAGCAAGGATCAGTTGATAAATGTTGTATTAAGTTTTATTTTACATTGATTTTAGTTAAAATTAGATTACATTAAGTTTGGTTAAGTTAATTTAGGTTCCCGTTGCTTGTATTAACTCAAAATAACTTACATTATAATCAGTTACGTTAGTTTAACAATATTTATTTAAAATGTTAAATTAATTTATTTTACATTGAATTTAGTTAAGAATTAGGGTACGTTAGGTTGGGTTTCGTGTGGGTTAAAGATATAATATTGTTTGTATGTTATTTCCAAAACAGTTTATTTATGTTGTAGTACATTTATCTTTGTTAGTTTAATTGGATTAACAGAGATCGAATGTTCGCGGGCCATTGTGAGAAGGTGAGTCAAGCACCTAAGGTATTACACCTTCGTGCCCAGTGAAAGTTTGAACGCTCGTGCTTGGCTAGCGTACAGCGAATGAGGGTGCGCCAAGTCCGTAGACTTGCATTGTTTATTAGGGTGCGCCAAGTCCGTAGACTTGCATCGTTTATTAGGGTGCACCAAGTCCGTAGACTTGCATTGTTTATTAGGGTGCGCCAAGTCCGTAGACTTGCATTGTTTATTAGGGTGCACCAAGTCCGTAGACTTGCATTGTTTATTAGGGTGCACCAAGTCCGTAGACTTGCATTGTTTATTAGGGTGCACCAAGTCCGTAGACTTGCATCGTTTATTAGGGTGCACCAAGTCCGTAGACTTGCATCGTTTATTAGGGTGCACCAAGTCCGTAGACTTGCATTGTTTATTAGGGTGCACCAAGTCCGTAGACTTGCATTGTTTATTAGGGTGCACCAAGTCCGTAGACTTGCATTGTTAATTAGGGTGCGCCAAGTCCGTAGACTTGCATCGTTTTCCATCATAAATAAAATGGTTAATTAATGCCTTCCTAAAGAAACCATCGACATGGGACCAGGTTTGTTCCACTCTACGATTTTTTTGCGATTTTTCCACTAAGTTTGATGAAAAACGATTGTGCTGTTTCAGCTGCCCAGAACAGACAGACAGACAGACGCCTAGTCCTATAGTATATTATATATAAGAAAGTCGCTCTTCAAGAGTAAAGTGCTTCCACATTAGGGGTACTGTCACCCCGTCTGGTCCCCGAAATATGCTAGGGACTGTCAGGTGATTGAAAATGTCCAAAGGAGGGCCACCAGAATGGTGCCTGCACTGCGGCACCTCAATTACCCAGAGAGATTAGAACGCCTGTAACTACTTAGCTGATACTATAGGCGGTAAAGGGTAACTTAATTGAAGTTTATAAACATCTCAGGGGGCACTACTCAGTCGAGTGTCCATACCTAGAGCTGGCGGACACTCGCCCTACAAGGGGTTACAGTTCAAGGTTGAAGAAGCCACAAGTCCAGAAAACTGTGAGGGCAAACTTTTTGGAGTGAGAGTTGTGAACTCTTGGAACAATCTGCCAGAGAGCAGGATCAGATACATTCAGAACATTCAGGAGCCAGTACAGGCCCAGTAGTTGCCAACAGTACGCAACAGAGACGTGGCCAACCACCCAATCGGCTGATCAGTGGCGAAGAGGTCGGATAAAAGATTAAAAATACGGCGGTGCAGATTGAGTTGTAAAACTTCCAAAGACTTCTGGGGGGAATTCTACAAAAAATAAAAAATTGCATCTCTCAAATTGAGGTCGTGAATATATACCTGCACAATCTAAGTATATTGTATACCTTCACTATCTACGTACATTGTAAACCTGTACTAGGTACCTGTACACTACACATGTACCTTCGCTGTATGTGCACAGGCTGAATCAGTGTAAACTTGTATGACGAATTCACTAAAATATTATAAATTTCTTGTTACTGTGGGGATGTGGAGGCGAGTGGTCACGTCTCCAAGCGTAATGACCTTGAAGTAAGGACTGGACATTTAGACAGACCAATATGTAGATGGATAAATACAGGAGTTTTTCAGTACATATTCCTTGGTTACAGTCATGAGTTCATACTGTAGCGCCTCTAACATGCCCAATTCTGTAGTGATTGTTGTAGTGCCGCAAGTGAGTGAAGAAAATGAAGAGTCGGATACAAGTCTGACCTGTTGCCTACCTCTAGTCTAGAATGACCTTAGTAGTGACCTTAGCACGTGTGGGGTATTTCTAACTGTTGGTTCAGTACTTTCCTGTTGCTTTCTACACTTGTCTTGCTTCACCCTCTTGTGCCATTTCCTCCATTTCTTGCGGTGTTCATCGCCGACCACCACTCTCACACAACAGTCAATGTGACGTAAACTGTAGTTAGATTTGTAACATGGTATCGTTTTACAGTGATTAATATTATCATAAGATGTTACTGCAATTTAATAAAATGATTTTGTCACCAACAACTTTTTCCGGTGCATTTATTATTGTTACCTGCAGTCGAATGCTTCTTCAGGTACAGTATGAAATAACATTAGGCGTGTTACAAAATACTGCAGAGTAATGTTATAACTTATCTATAAATAGAAAATTACATTTAAAATTTTATATTTTAATTTTTATCCTCAAGAATTAGTTTTGTGGAATTTAAGGCCAGCAGATATAGAGGCAGTATACACATTTATTATGATAAACACGGCAGGGAGAGATGTGTGCAACTTATCTACTTTTGGATTAATTATGCCAGCGAGAATGGTCGTCATAAGCGCTATGCACTTGTTGTTATTAATACCACCCATTAACATTCAGTATATTGAATGCGGGGAATTATTATGTTTACAATAATAAGAACGAAGTAAGCAACATTCAGCGATAAAAATATAAACTTGATAACTACCAAACCTTTGTTTACGGAGAAACAACAATACCGGAAAGGTTAAGCAATTCTTAAAATTTTTGTGAGATCATGAGTGAGTTTCCTCATATTGTATCAAGATCCTTTAATTAAAAAAAAAGGAAGTAACTAGCTGTAATACATATCTATAATTCTTTTTCATTGTTTATATTATGATGTTTTTATTTCGCGAAAATTATACCTGGTCAAAGGCCATGCTGACCTACGCGGATGAATATACCAATCAGCTGTTTGCCTCATGATGTTTTTCTTAAAACTACTTTGTTAGAGTTCACTAACGAGGAGGATATGTACACTCCGAGTGTTTATAAGATATTTGATACTTCTTAAAGAACATATGCATGATTTTCAGTGTCAAAGCTATGTGTTACATGAAACTCATATATGCTTAATAATGCAAATAATTCATCAGTAATACATTAATCGTAGTATTATTCCAATTAATATAGAGATAGAGGCAAAATTGAGTGGTTATCATTAGTAGCATCTAAAAATTGAAGAGGACTAGTTTTGTTTACGTAGGGTTGAAGGCGGTACAGGGCCCAGCAGCCCAGCTGGCTGATGGTCGGGAGTGTTTTCATACGGAGCTGTGCAAGGCAAAGGAACTCTCCTCTTCGTTTCGGGCAAAATTAATGTCACAATACTAGTAAGTTGTTTATATGAGGAGCATCATTGTGTTTGGTATTTTCCTGTCCCGTTTCACAAGGGTAGAAGTATTTATTTTGTCCATGAAAGTTGTATGACGAAGCAAAACAAAGCGCAGGTCTTGTACGACAATGGCAGCTCGGCTCCGTAGCGGAAGACTAGAGGAAGCCTTTTATTTGCGTCTTTTTTATCGATTTTAGAGGATTCTTTGCAGCTTGGCCTTTGTCTTTATGAATAACCATGCTTTGAAATTTATTATGGCTATGATTGACGAAAGTTTGTCAGAATGTTTGTTGGAAAGATAATCAAAAATAGAAGTGAGGAGGCGGTGTAGGACCGAGCATGGAGTCGTGTCAAATCGGCATCGTTTTTATCAATTCTTCATATTGTCTAAGTATTTTTTCCGGATACAAACCACGTGCTCTCCCCAGTGTTTGTGAGGGACTATTATTACTGTACGTTGTTCTAAATCCCTGCAAACCATATGAAATGCCTTAAAGACAAATAGGTAAATATTGGCCTGAGAGTTGGGTTTCTTGATTAACTTGGATAACGTCATTAGTTTCTGGTATATTTTTGATAGTCAGATTTCATTCGACTTGAAACATACAGTAGTTAGTGGAGCAATAAATCAGTAGATAGTAGTTAGGGAGAAGTGGTATTTTGATGAATGTACTGCCATGGTATTGTTAGATATTTTACTTTTTGTGTTGTTTTACATATACAGTACAGTATGAAATGAATTCACTTGCCCAAAGAATACATATTCTTACTCGCCATGTTTGAAATTCGTTCAAAGCTATAAAAAACTGAAATGAACGAACTTAATGTGCGTAAATTAATTATGATTCCGCGCGTCAATCTACGTTACGTTTATTTTTTGGGTAAGTAAGGTTAGGCCTCATCGGTTTGTGTTGCTTATTGTTGCAAAGAAGTGACACCCTTTTTTCCCAGCATTTGTTTGTTTATAACGACCGTCGAGCTTCACGTTGAGAATTGCAGCCATTTTCATTAGTTTAGACTCCTGTTGGGTTTGGTATGGTCTTAGTAATGGAAGTCCACTTTCAGAGGAATTATAATGGCAAGATAGTTTGGAAAAGTTGTGTTTTAGAAGTTTTAGGCTACACCCTCTATTGGGTTGATTTCTTGGGTATTTTACTAAAAGTTGTAACGTATAAAGGGAAATACTGTACGGCGTGAGAAGGAAAACCATTAAATTTACTTGAGATGTGACGTGTAAACAGTGCCCTCCAGTCACCTGATGCTTTGATGGCTTGACAAAGATCATCTCTGGCGAGTGTCGGAGTTTAGCAGGATCATTATCACCGAGTGTTAACAAACTTGCCTGTATACAGTATAGTATATGAAAACACACACACACACCTGCCATATATGCATCTTGATAGCCGTTCTGCCTTGCTGACATCGTTCAGGTATGGTATTTGTGAAGGCTCGGAGGTTACGGCAGTATGGTATTAACTGTGCTGCGGTAACATGTTCAGACGTACAGAATTACCGTGCCTCTAGCTGTGATTACATCCATACACTTTCTTGCACATACTGTCTCTTCTTTGTTTAGGACCAATGTGGAAGCCTGTCTTTTCTCGGATAACCAATAGTTACCAGATAGTAATACAGTACAGGTATATGGTTCGTAACCTGTTGATTGAGGCCTGGGGAGGGTGTGTTGTCTGGCTTAAGGGATCAGTGTTCCCAATGTCTCCCTCATTCGTACATCAGTACTATCCATACTGAAGTGAGAGAAAGAAAAGGAATGTCTAAGTACTGTATATCTGATTTGGAAGAGGTCCGAGAGTGAGCTTGAAGAAGAAACGGCAATAGTTTATGACACGGGTCCAGGTTAACAAGATACCTAATGGAAGCTATTCACAGCAGAATAAGTTATTTCTTACTTCAAGTATACTAAAGCAAATTGGGTGGAGGGATAGCACTCATCATATTGTATTTTGTTTCTTAATAATTTTTCTCGTAAATAAAGATGCTTCATGTGACCTGACCAAGGATGACATGTTTGTTTGATTTGTCTGTTTTCCTTGTTTGAGCTGGAGGAGGAACATTTCGTAGATGTTAACACCTCAATTTTATACTCGGAGAAACAGCAGCACCCTCAGATTTTTGTGTAGACAATGATGATGAATTCTTTAAGAATATCCCATAACAGGACAAATAAAATAAGGTGTTTTGTAAGGATAATATTTGTTTGGGGATACATTTGAACGTGACTTCCCAGTAATGTCATTCATTCCATATACAGCTCCTCCCCGACTTACGACCACCTGCACTTACGACTTGCCTCAGTTGTACCAAAATTGTCAAATTACGTATTTTCGAGTCCCAACGTCAGTACACGGACAAATTTTCGTTTGTAATTCACTTTAAAATGGCTGGTAAGCTTAAAAGTGAGAGTTTTGTGGTGCTGAAAAGAAAAAGAGCCACCCATTTTAGATTTTCTATGTATTTAAGCATTTTCGACTTACGACTGGGGTTTTTGGGCTGTTTGGTTCACACTCAGGATGGGTTGGAGAAAGGAAACTCACAATGTGCTCTCTATATACATGTTGTATTGGATGTACAATGCAGCTTGGTGCTGGGAAGGCAGCATGGTTACAAGCGTGATGTAGAGAGCTGGTTGGTGAGGGTGCTCAGAGGAGGACAGCTTGTGGGTCGTCATGCTCGCCGGCGGGAGCGAGGACCGCCAGGCAGGCGGAGGAGGAGGTGGTGTTGCTGGCTGGTTGGTGTAGGTAGAAAGAGGTCAGGTCTTAAATAGCGGGGGGTAGGCGTGGCTTAGTAGTTGACCCCTGCTCCGTGATGTATGGCGGCGCTGGTTGACCTAGACCACGAGGCATACACTGGGGAATTGGTGGGGTCGGCTACTCAGCGACAAACAGCGTTTCTAGGGGAGAAATCCACTACACGACCATTTCGACTTACAACCTGGATTTGGGTCCCCAATCCCGTCGTAAGTCGGGGAGGAGCTGCACACACACACACACACACACACACACACACACACACAAACAAACAAACACTTCCAGTGAAAGATTTTACATGTGGTATATGATTTATTGTAGGTAAGATGAACTAGCTTCCTAGGGTGGAAATATTCTATTTTAGGTTGGCTTACATTAAGCATGGTTAAGTGTGAATTGTTGGTTTGGTTGTTGACTGAGCAACATTTGTTCACTTGGTACGTCACATTGCTTTATTGCTTGTTTTATTCAATCTGCAAAGTATTTGTGAACAGTTGAGACACAATCCTGGCATTGCTTGAAGCGGGTGGGTGGCACTCCATTTTTCATGGAGAACTGATTAAAAATTTTCCTTCTCAATATTTTCATAAGGGAGCTGGTTAACAAGGAACCCTTATACAGTACTTGAGTGTTACTGACAATACTGTTGAAATAACAATCAGAGACTATACGAGGCAATGATGGAAAGCATCATATAACATGGCAGTTCTACTGCTGATTTGAGCCGGTGCAAATGATGCAAGGGACACCATATCCTGCAATTTGCAATTGCCATGTTAAATAAAAATGCACTGCCAGACTGGATGAAACCTCCAGTGGTGAGTCTGGTGGCTAATTTCATACAGTAATTTACTGTACTCTATAGTGGAGGTTAACAGAAGGCCCTATAGAAACCTCAAGACTGTAATGACCAAGAGATTACGTACAGTAATTAGTAATTCTTCAAACCCGTAGAAGAGTAGAGGTAGTTGGTCACTTTATAAAGGATACCAAGCTTAAGTACTGTAGAGTCTATTAACCCCTTGTGACGGTGTCGCCTCGAGCTGAATAAAATTGTCTGGCGTTGACTAAATACTGTAGCTAGAATATCAGGTGGCTCCCACCACATCTCCATAGTGAAAGGGTTCGTGTAAACAATAGTAATGTGTAAATGTATTATATTGCAATCTGTAAGTAAAGATTTAATCAGTTCCCTTATAAGTGTGGATATTTTAAGTTTTGGGTAAAGGTGTAGGGAAGTGACATCACAATTTTGTTTGGAAGTACTGTATATGGATAGGATTTACTGTACTGTTGATACTGACCAAAATAATGCACTGCACTGTACTATACTATATAACAGTACAGTTTCACTAAAAATCCCCCTGGGGCTGAAAGGATTTATGCTTATACTTAAAGAAATGAGGTACAGTACGTAGCTACTGCACTATATAAAGCATCACTAACAATACCTTCGTGGCTAAACTGTTAATGACAATAGGTAATACAAACTGACCTGCCTTATGAAAATACGTGAAAATAAACCATGTGCATTAGGTTTGGCTGGTTGGTGTTACATGATTGGTTAAACCTTGTGTGTGTGTATTTCTCCCTTGCTAGATAGAGATTGTGAATTGTGTTGAACATATCTCTGAATATCCTGTTAAAGAAGATTAAGTGGCAACACATCTGGGGTACATAAGAAGGGAAGAAACTGCAGTGGAGTCTATGGGTACACATTAGTCAGTTCTATTTACACCCAACTTCTATTGCTCATATATCTGTAGGGTTGGTATGGGTTGTGATGGTACCTGTAGAGCTAGTATGGGTTGTGATGGTACCTGTAGGGTTGGTATGGGCTGTGATGGTACCTGTTGGGTTGGTATGGGCTGTGATGTTCCTTAATACCTTGAATCTAATTTAGAATACCTTATTACTGTTCATTATCATCACACTTATCAAACTCCTGAACTTGTGTTTTGGTCAAGACAGAAACCACGAATGAGACCTTTCGTTACATAGCACCTCATGGATCACCCCTTTGCTTTCACCTTAAGTCACCCCCCAGCTTAATCACCTAGAAGTCTAATTGCCCTGATACTATTGGGAGAGGCTAATCTTCAGGTGATTCATTACTGTACGTCACTGGTATGCATATGGTGGTCTGCAGAATTCCATGATATGCAAATGTGTTCAGGGTTATGATTGATGTGGGTTATTATATTAGGGTTAGCTTGGCAGGTCTGGTCTGGTCTGTACAGTATATAGTACCGTACTTGGTTTGGTCCCTGGTAGTGGTGTGATGGCCTTGGTGAACGTAGGACTGTGTTAGTGGTCTTGGTGGTGGTGCATTGTGGATTAGTTGTGGTTTATGGTGGTGCATTGTGGATTAGTTGTGGTTTGTGGTGGTACATTGTGGATTAGTTGTGGTTTGTGGTGGTATATTGTGGATTAGTTGTGGTTTGTGGTGGTATGTTGTGGATTAGTTGTGGTTTGTGGTGGTACATTGTGGATTAGTTGTGGTTTGTGGTGGTGCATTGTGGATTAGTTGTGGTTTGTGGTGGTACATTGTGGATTAGTTGTGGTTTGTGGTGGTACATTGTGGATTAGTTGTGGTTTGTGGTGGTACATTGTGGATTAGTTGTGGTTTGTGGTGGTGCATTGTGGATTAGTTGTGGTTTGGGTTTTATGGATAATAGCAAAGTACAGCCGGCTACTTTTAATTTGTACCGTCATCCTGGCTCGAGTCTGATTTGATCTGAAATTTGTGTAATATAAAGAAATGGTGAAATCAAATGGCAAAATAATCTAGAAAGATTAATTACTGAACTGTATGGAAGTGTGCAAGTAAGAATTGAAGGAATTATAGTGTAATTTAGGCGTTTCATGGCAATAGAGGGGTCTTGGGCACGAAAAAGAGACATGGGTAGATAGAGTTCTAGTGGGAATGTATCAAAGGAAGCAGATGTATGGAAGCATAGAAACAAAATGTAGTGAGGAAATTACGGGTGAAATAGTACAGGATAAATACAGTACAGTTACTGGTAATAGGAAAAAAATGATTGCTGCACTAAGTGTAGCTGTGTTTAGGGAAACTTTTATCCGAGGGTTTTTATATGGCATTTAAATCTCAAGGTCACTGAATTATCTTGCATGTGTACAGGACTTTGCATTTTACTTTATGCTGTGCTTAACCTTTTGAGCTTCCACCAAGGAAACCTATTAGCTTGGTAGATGGACAACCAAAAACAATAATTCCAAACTACTGTCTCGGGATATACAAGCTTGTGATAATGTTCTGGTGGTGAGGGACATTGTTCATATCCTGCAATCTTTTAAGTTTTTATTGTACTTTGTTATTAGATAATATTGGTAGCTACTGTACATAATTAAGTTAATGTAAAGATTTCCATTTGAATTATCCACAGGTGTTGTTGGCATGATTGGGTTCGAGACCAGTGCCTATGGCGGAGCGCGGTGAGGGGACCGCAGGGGGGTCACACTCACAAGCCACCACCAGTGGGGCCCACACTGCGGCAACCAGGAATAGGTTTGTACAGTAGTTGATTCTGTCTTTTATGTTTCTCCTTAAGGGTAGCATTAGGCCTTCAGAAAGTAAGGTGAACCTGAAGGGTAAGAGGAGTGAGGGATGCGTGTGTACCGTCATATACAGTCTTGTACTAGCAGTGTTTAGAATTGAACTGTATAATAGATTGGGAGTAAATGTTGTAACATTGCTTGTAACGTGTTTGTGGGATTTCAAATATGACTAGTTTGCAGTATTGTATTTTTTCCCAAACTACTTTTCATTGGGGAAACAAATATTTTTTTTGTTTTCTAACAACCAAATTGACTGTTTGTTTCATTAAACATTTGCAATGCTAATACACTACCTGAATGTAATTTCCAGTACTTGAATGTTTTAGAAACCCTAAAAGATGGGTGGGTCTAGTTGTAGACCTGAACAATAAAGGAGGACATTTTGTTACAGTAGCTTCCTCCAGTGGGTAGAGAGATATAATTCCAGGATGACGACAAAAAATAGTTAATGTATCTAAGATTAGTCTTCAGTATTTTCCTTCCCACTCTCCCAACTTATTTCTCTTGACAACTTTCTCATTTATTATTGTTTTCATTCCTCTGCTCCTCCTGAAGCTCCTGGTGCTGGTGTGTAACTATTGTTGTGTAGTGCTTCAGATGCCATAACGAGAGATGTTTTCTAAGGTGTTGCTTTATTCAGTAATTAGTTGGCTTGTCTGGTGTACTTCCTGCTGTCCATTTTTAGTCCTCAGTGTGAAGTTTTTTTTTGGTGGTGGGGGGATATACTGTACAGTATTTATTGTGCCGACTGTCTGTTTGTCCATTTGATAAACACCACCATGTTTAAAAAATAACTTCAGGTCTTTTTTGGGGAATTTCATGAATTTTATACAGGACTTGAATATACGTAGAGGAAGAAACTTTGATTTTTTTTTATCTGGTTGAAGGCTGTTTACTACAGTATTGTCAGAAGATAAGACAGTTTACTTGTGGCTTTATTAAGCTTCTGGAGCTGTCTTTGAGCTGAGCATCTTGTAATGCTTTTTGTCCAGCTGCTCGAGGCATCAGGGCTCGAGACAAGTGCTCTTATGAATGGTCGTAATAGCGAGGCACGTTGAATCATACCTGTTCATATTGAGTCTGTTTCTTGGAGTAGTTAAAGGTATTGACATTGTCTTCATGAGTAATAATAGGCACAGATATCTCCCTTGACCTCTTACTCCTCTACAAATGCTCTTAATATAGTACACTAATTGACTCACAGGTGCTCCTAATGACACCAGGTGGCTAAGGTGCTGTGATGTTTGGGTGGACAATAGGGCTATAGTGATAATAAAGTGATGATGCTTTTGCTGTATGCAGTACTGTACAGATCAGGGTGTTATTACACAAAAATGCAAGGACACATGACTATGATATTCAGATGATCATAAGATTTTTTTTTTTTCAAAAGCACTTGGATCTGTTCATGTTCCTTTTTCTTGTGGCTGCCTGCATAATATAGTATTAAAAATAAGATTAAATTATCGTGATTCTTGTGTGTTTCACAGAAATCAGCTGGTTGGGTCAGTAGTGGAGGGGTTGGAGGCTTTCGGGAGTCCCCTACCCCTACGCAAGCGCAAGATTGGTATCACCGAGGTGGTGCACACAAAGAGGAGAAGCAGCGACGGTCCACAGGAACCCTCGGGAGGATTTAGTAGCATTACGTCCAACACAGCAGGTGCAGGTGGCACCGCGAGCAAGAGGCAGAGATACACCAGCAACAGTAGCAACAGTGACGCACGTTACGCAGTAAGTGTCTTCTCCATTCTTTGAGGTGGTGGCTTGACTGAAATGAGCTGATGTAGTGGTTCTGTATTCTCAAACTGGTGACTGTTAGAGCAAGGAAGAACATTCATCTGGAAGAGCGGGCATTGGGTTGAATGGGCAGTTTTATGAATTGTGTTGGTGCTTGGAGGTTTATAGTACTTACGGACCACTGCAGCCTATTAATTGTTAGTACTGTACAGTGCTGTAAAATTTTAATGCATTGTTTTTATCTTCCTATCCATGTTCACTGTATAAAAGTCATGCAGGTATAAATGTAACAAAAGGTACAATAGTGATAATTTTACAGCATATCTTCGCTTTCATTATCTTTTTGTTTTCCTGTGATGTGTTAATGTTCTTTGTTGTATTACTGTACAGTATTAGAACTCATAAAACTGCACGACTAAGTGGGAAATATTTGGTTGTCTGGCAAATAAACTCCTTGCACCAGACTTGTCACACTAGTATAGTAACACTCAGTGTTAGTTACGGTGATATCATACCTTAATTGTGCGTAGGCTATTTTCTTGATAAAAGGAGAAGAGACAATTTGTTTTTACAAACATAGCCCCAAAACATTTCTTGTAACTTCTCAATTACCAACAGTGCTGTAACTCCAGGACCATTCATCAGTGATTACAACAGGTAAACAGGTTACATAAGTGTGCTTTTATCATTACCGTATTACATATAATCCTGCTATGGAAGTGAATTTGTTGAGGTGAATCGGGATTTTATTCGCCCAGCATTAGGTGGAAGAAAGTTGGAAGTGAAGTGAAATGCATCCCAAGTATCTTCAAACTTTGAGTTGATTTCAAATTTTTATTTTGGCTCCTTTACTCCGCTGTATTAATAATTTATTTGAATATCTTGGTGCATTGCTAACTATGAAGATTTGTGACACCCAGGATAGTGGCGATTGTGGCGATTGTGGCTTGGAGAGCCCGGCAAGCAAGCGTCAGCGCCGGAGCAGTCACGTAGAGAGCCGGAGCAATTCAGCTGCCAGCCTGGCCGCCAACGCACCCAGCACAACCACTCGGAACCAGGGTAAGTTCTTCCTCCATTTTTCTTGACAATTTGTAATTGGCTTGGATTATTTTTTCCCTTCATTTCAGGACATGTTGGAATTTGCTGTACAGTATCTGTTTAAAGAATTTATCTTGTGGACAGTCAGAATCGGTAGAAAAAGGGGCCATTTGTTTCTCTAGTTTATAGCTGTTGGGGAAAGCTCTCGGGCTGTGTTCCTCAGTGTGGGACATTTATAGAAAAGATGGAATTATCTGAACTTGACTTCATTTGTGAACCAGTGAAGGTCAGGGAAATATAGTACAGTATAGCTACTTAGTATGTACAGTATCTACATTATTTTATTGAAGGTCCTATCTCTTATAATTAATAGTTGTTGATGGCCCAGTGTAATCACTACAGAGGTTTCTTGTTACAAGCTTAAAGACTTTAATTGTTGAGGCCCAGTATAACGTCAATATCGACTCGAGACTAGGGTACGGAGTATGTAGAGATGAGGAAATTCCTTATATATTACAGTTTAGGGTTTGGGTTGGGTCTGATTATCAAGTCTCTTACTCTTAAATATTGACTGAACATTACTGCAATAATAATAATGTAATCCTGCATTTATAACCAGAAACATTGTACTTCAATATTGTTCTGCAACTTTGGCCAGAGTGAGTGATGATACTCAGATATTTGGCTGATAAAATTACTGTATCTAAACTTGCTCTTGTTAGGGAAGTTATCACTGTATTCGTCTATTGGATTTTTTGAAGTCCAGACCTCTCCCATATTTCCATTCAGTTCACCATATATCAGATAATTTTTATGGTAAGTTAGAGCTTCCTACCCTTAAAATGTATTAGTTCTTAATTAAGGTAGTGTGTGATTAGTTAGTGATTAATGTGCGTTTTGTTGGTGTGTGTGAGTTACCAGAAGTGCATTGGAGTTATTTCTTTGGCAGTATTAAGTGAAGACAATGTTCTTTAAATCTGTTAGTATTGTTGTCATGAACTGTTTCTAGCCCAGGAGACCAGGTTTTCTTGTTACTGAGCTCTTTGTACCTTACTTATGGGCCTGAGTCGAACAAGCCTTAAACTGGTGCACTTCATTGTACTCCTGTGCTGTTGGTTTAGAGTTTAGGTTGAAGAGTTTTTGATACAGTATTCCCATTAATATTTGTCCAGTCAAGAAGAAGGTTTCTATATTTTCATTCCTGAAGCCCATTGTGCTGACACAGGGTGGCTGTAGTAACTTCTTAGAGGTTGAAGGGGTTGAAGAATTTTTTAGCCAATTTAATTGTTCGTGAGTTACTAGATTTTAGTTTGGTATCATCTCTTTTTTTTTTCTTTGCAATGTTTGGTCATAGTTTGTGTAATTGGTGCCCATGAGGATCCCACTAAAGATAAATCCTTTTGCTGGATTATTATTACATATTTGTTGAATTGAACCTTTATTTAGTTGGATTCATTTTGTTTTAGAATTCATTATTGGATTTTTATTGAACATGAAAGGAAATGTAAAGGAGCAATATTAGCATTGATTTTTCTTAATACAGCAGCATTGGTGGGTGAGTTAAAAGGTTTCCATAGATGTATCTAGCAGTTACATGCTCAGCGCAGTGTAAACCTGACTAGTCTTGGCACTGTTTCGTAAATCTACGCACCAAGTATTTGCCTACTGTACTGTAATACGAGATAGAAGAAGTAATATTTTATCATACTTTAGACGTTACAGCTTATTCGTAATGTACTCAATATGCACTAGAGCCAATGGAAGTGATTCCTGATTACAACTGACATGTAGTGAATCATATAAAGTAAAAGTTAACAGAATCATTAAATTTTTTTAATAGTAATTGACCCAAATGAAGTCATTTGTGCCAATGACTGAATTCCAATTGCAGAAAAATTACTTTATTAGTACAGTACTGTACAGTATTCTTCTGTGTGCCTGACTGTTCCAACATTGGTTATGGGGTTGACCAGTAACAAGTCCAGTCCAGTAAAGTGTGTAATTGGTGACCTATGTAAATTCAATTGATTGGCAGCGGTATATAATTTAAATGTTGATAATCACTTACCGTAGTGTGAACATCAGAAGCTTGTTTTAGTGTGTGAAATATTGCAGATTGTTTTCTGAAGAATAATCTCAGGAGTTTACTCTACCTTGTTGACCTACTGTACTGTACTTGTATGCAGCAAATAGGTTTCTGCATTATAATCAGTGTTGCATGTTGAGCCTTAACCCCAAAACAAGCCACCGTACATTTCACACTACAGAAATGTATGTTTGAGAATCCCAGCACCAATCTGCAGAATGTTTGTCCAAATATGTTTCTCATTCAGGAGAGGGAAATTTAAAATTAGCAAATTTAAAATGCCCCCCAGTAAGAGTTTGTGGAAATGTAAATACCGGTACTAAATAACTAATTCAATTGGATTTTTTCACATACATAAAGTATATTGTTAAGTGGAGTTTCCGACCACGGTAACACATTATTAGTCCCCGTATTCATACCAAAGGAAATTATGAATTTTTAAAGCTTTCTTTGCTTTTGTTTAGAGATGTCTTGTGATTGTATTTTTATTTTGTTGACTCGTTACTCTGCTATGGCAGTTAGTCTGAAAGATGAAGCTGTAAGATACAAATAAAGATGGTGTTTCCCAGTTAATGATCAGTTAATAATGAGGACTCTATACAGTACTAGACAAGATGTTCATTTTGTATCACTTTCCTCTGGTATACAACTCACATTCGAGGCATTCTATCTTGTTCATATATGGAGTTAAAGCATTGACTTTTCATCTCCAATCACACACAGTACATCCAATATTTCCTCACCCGTGAAGTTCACCATTGATTGTATTTGTCCAAGTTTTATGATTGTACAGAATGTAGTTTTGTATGATGAATTTTTTGGTACAGTATATAAAGCTCTCATTAAGTGTGTGAAAGATTTTCACCAACAGGTAATTTTGACAGACTCTGTTCTAGTGTGCTGTGGGATTAATACTGTAGAAACTTTTGAGTACTGTACAGACATGTACTGTAATGTATTGATTTTCATGCTCATAATATATATGATCTTAATTCAAATAACAATAAATATTTAAATTTTGATGTTAAATTGTAAAGTAAGTGGTAGCATCTCCACAACATGGATTACTAGTAGTTTACATTTTTGTTGTAGGCAGTACAGTATGATGTGTATATAAAATGAGGCATTATTTCATTACTTTTGAAACTCCAGTGACACCAGTGCGGAGATCAACTCGAATCTTAAAGAAGAATAACACCTTAAGTGTGGGAAACAAACAGTCATCTAGAGTTACTGTTAAAATATTACCTAAAGGAAACCATAAACTTATGAATAGTTTGCTGCAGACTGCCTCAGCTGGACAAGTATCCACATCCAGTCAAACCAGCTCGGAAAATACTGTTGTTAATATTGGTGGTGGTAATGGTGGGTCATTAATTCCTGCAATACAATTGAACCTCAAAGGAAATGTGTGTTCAAGAAGTCACAATTGTTGTTTTATATTAAAAGGGAAACTGTGTCCAATTAAAAACACAGAAGAATTACAAGAACTAGAATCCATTCCGGTTATCCTCGAGAGTAAAACTGTAAGAAATGGAAGTTCTTTAGTAATTGCCGGGGCATTAGGTTCTGGTAAACCAACCAAACCTGGAGAAACCTCTTGTCAAGCAGAGAATTGCACACTGAAAGCAGATTCAACTGTTGTAAATAAAGGGAAGGAGTCGTCATTGGTTGCTCAAAAGACACCGAGAAAAAATACAAAAATTCCTGGCGTCTCCAGGATGACATCCCAAGGAATTCACAAGAAACAGTCAAATACAACATCAAAATTAAAATGTCCAAATTGCTCAGCCAGGCAAATGTCCATTAGTTTTCGGCCAAGCATCGTAAATATTATTAAGCCAGCTACTGAGGCGTCTGGTACGGTCTCCAAACAAAAGATAAACTCTCAAAGTAACTCCTTCAGTCAATCTACTGGAAATATTTATGGACAAATAGGTAAAAAAAGAATTAAGCCCAGAACTGAAATATCCAGTGCTGTCAGTAAGCAAAAGATAAGTGGTCAAAATAACAGTGTGAGGCAAGCTTCAGTATATCATAGTAAGGCAGGTAGTTTAAGGAGGCCTAAACCAACAGTAAATGGACCATTTAGTTTTAATAAACCACAGCAAGTTAAGGTAAACCCCTCACAAACCAAATTCCCTAACCAGGGAGCTGGAGGAAAGTGTGCCAAACCACAGGTCAAGTTAACTCTCATAAAAAACACAAAATCTGAAGCTTCTGTATCATCTAGCAAACAAAGCAGCTCATCAGCTGCTGTACATGGCGAGAGTTCTTCCCTGAAACAGACCTCTGAAAATTGTGAAGCTAAAGACGACAGCATCACGGGGGTTGCGGTGGACCCTAAATCAGGACCATCGTTGAGTAAGTTTAAATGTCACCTTTGACAAAAATTTTTTAGGGGATTGTGATTTTAATTGGAAATTTGTCTTCTAGTTGGTGATATTGACTTAAAATGTATTTTGCGATGAGAAATGAGTGTATGACTGGGTGGGAGGTGGTGGTGGACTTGCCTAAACCAGTTAAGAAACTAACAAGTTTACAGAATTTAAGTTTGGCAAAATTTTTGCCGACTATTTCTCAACCTATGTATAAACAGTATCTTATACAGGTATAGGTAATGTTGAGGGGATATATGTAGAAGTATTGCACCTGCAAACATTAGTATGTGCACAAACCTTAACATTTCTCCAACCTGACCAGTGACCACCACACGTTTTCTGCCAATTTTTTATTGAGGACATATAGGGCCCACGTTTCATTAACATACAATTTGGACCACACAACTCTCCAATACAGTGGGGTATGCTATAACGAATCTAATTGGTTCTAGAACCTGTTCGTTATAGCATTCGTTCGTTATAGGATTAATCCGTTCCAGGCCCCCAAATACAACCAATTAACACTGAAAAATATAATATAAAATTGTAAAAAGTGCATAAATATGCATCTAAACACCTGAAATAAAGAATATCATTAATATTTGTAATAAAAAAACAATAAATTAGAAAAAAAAAAATTTAAATAATGTTCGTTGTAGGAGTTTCGTTCGTTATAGCATTCTCAATTTTATAGGTAAAACCGTTCGTTATAGGAATATTCGTAGTAGGATCCGTTCGTTATAGCATACCCCACTGTATTTGGTTGATACAAATAAAAATTTCATAAAATTTGTACTTAGGATGGCCATGTTGACAAGGTAATAGTGGTATGATATAAAAAGTGTAATTTTTACTGGATATTTAGAACACTATTATAGGAGGGAACCCAGATGTAATTTTTCTCTTATCAGTAAAGCCATGTGAAGGTATTTGATGTATTACAGTGGATATTAGTTTATACTAGTTGTGTGGTAAAGGTATTTAACTTTACATAAAAGGCTGTGGTATTTCATTAGTATGGTAATTGGGCAGGATGCAGTACTCCCTTTGAATCTTGGTAAATGGTGATGTCCTTTGATTATGATTTATCAGTCCTCATGGACTACCAATCTCTTTGGTCATATTAAACTTTACATCTCTAGGTCAATGCATATAATCAAAGGTAAACATTGTATAAATACAGTACCTGTACTTATGAGGTTCATTGAATGAGACTGATGGTAGAAAGAGAAGAGGAAATGGTTGCAGTATGTTGGGGCGACTTTAGAGTACTCCTCTTGTCAGTATATACCAGTTTCCTTTGATAGTGTTGAACATTTACCAACAAGTTCTTTGTCAGACTCAAAATGGTGACCCTCGAGCGGGTTTTTCAGTTTCAGATAATCACAGGTGAGTGGGTAAATGGAATATCACTCCATCGCTGAATTCTTTGATAGTGTCTTGGTACTGTACACATGGCTGGTATGGGTAGGTGTTATGTCTTGGTGTTGTGCAGAAACCCCAGTTATGGACTAATTTCATTGTTTATTGGACAATCCTCATACATGTTTCTTAAACTTGTTGCTCAATGGATTTTCAGCAAACTTGGTATGTAGAGGAGTTTGAAATTAGCATTCTCCATGATGCTCCTCTTGGCCTATGAGGTGTGGTGGTGGATTTTGTCAACATTTTGTTCCTTTAGTGGTAGACATTATTACAATCTTTGGAGCTTTATCATCAGTTCCTTGAGACCTTGTTTGCTGTAGTACTGATGAACACTTTGCAAGAATTGCCAGAAAAGCTTCAGTACAAGTCCTCCCCATGGAAGAATAAGTACAACGTTTAGTTGGTACTGTACATTTTGTCTTGTCCATCCAGGAATGATTTTCTAGATTAAGTGAAAGTTTATGGATATTAATGTGTTAGGGATTTTACTCGTTTGAAAGTCAACGATCAGAATACTGTATTGACTCAATTATACCTCTAACTCTAGTGACAGTTGGATGGTTAAAAGTTATTGCTAAAATTTATATTATTTACAGCATTTTATAATTGATTTGATACACAAATTGCATTTATTAATCTTAGATTGTCTTTTAGCACCAGTCATAGAGGTGATAAATTTGTAATGAACTTGGATATGAACATTATGTGTAAGCCCACAATGTACTCAGTGCAGAGTGGTGATGTTGGTGACTCGACAAAATTGTAGGTTATTGGTCCTTTTCTTTTGCCTAGACCTTACCTGCTACAGCTCAAGGTAACTGGAATCAAGAGCAACACATATTTTCCACCATTTGTTGTCATTTGTTCTCAAACTGCCATAATGTAACTGAGGTGTTGTACTGTACTCCTGTGTGTTGTGGGAACAAGTGACTGTTAATGAAGGGAATGTCTTTTATGCTCTTGATTCTGTGTTGTGCACTGTTGTGGGGAAGAACATGCAAGAGTGAAAGAAAAATGCCGAGTTTTGTGTTTGTGGACCTAAGGCCATGTATACCTTGTGTAGCTTATGGCACTGGAGTAGATTAGAACTAATACAATTGTTGAACTAACACTTAGTGAAATTTACATGAAGTAATATCATTGTGATGTAATATGTAAAGTTAATGGTATTTGTAGCACATTTAAGTACAGTAGTGTAGTGAAACACCAGCTACAGTTTTATGGAAGCACTAGTGGTAGTGGTTATCCATAGATTAATTATTATTTTTATTTAATTTGATGAAATCTGTCCTTTAGTTTTGTTGGACATTTGATGATTTTGAGCATCATTGTTTGTTTGCCTGTACAGTATATGCACAGATACTGTACTAGTCTTTTTTACTTGTTTCACTCATTGAAAATGTCTGTCATACAGTATTTCAAGTTCTGTATTGGAATTAAGTTTTATTTTGTAAATGTTACCTACAGTACAGTATACGGTACAGCATTAAGACAAGTAATTTAAGAAGTTATTTTAGAAAAAAACGTTTCTGGTTGAATATAATAGGTATGAGGACTGTGATTATTTTATGTCAACAGACACAGAAAAGTCGCCTGGGGGTGGTGGAATACTAAAATCATATCCTCTGCGGAACCGACTGCGTCTGAGCGACGGTGGTGGAGGAGGAGGTGGAGGTAGCGGTGGAAGTAACCCGCTCACTGCTGGGCGGCTGGAGCAGCAGGGTCAGGTAAAGTATATTTACCTGCTACTTGTTTAACTTAGGCCCAGGAAGTACTATAATGAAGAAGACACTTTTAGTAATCATTTAAGTTGTTTGTATTTTGCAAGTGTCGTCTAAACTGATGTTATTTTAGGCATCGTCATTTTTTCTTTTCCTTCAGTCACAGTCTTTGCCGTCATCACCATCGTCCCAAGGTGTTGCCTTCTTGGCCGACACCTTCAGGAGGCTGAGAGAGTCACGACGATCGTCACAGGAACAATCTGCGACCAGTAAACGAAACGCGACGCAGACTAAAGATTCTAGACAGTCAGGAGGTAAGTTAAAAGATGAAGAAATAACATACACCAGTTTGAAAATGTAACTACTAACAAATGGATGTTTGGGAATGAAAGTCTTCTGTTGCTTGATATTTATTTCCTTTGGTATGTATTAACCAATTGTGATGACCTCTTTTCTGAAGAAATATTCATGAAAGTTATGGAGATCAGTCAAGTTTGTAACTGCTAAGGAAGGTGAACAAGGTTGTCAAGTACTCCTGTATTGATTAGATTTACATAAAGTACAATATAGTCTGCAGTATAGAGAATAAAAGGGTCAAGCTATTTTTACAGTGATACTTTAGAGTAAGGAAGTTAGTTGAAATGTAAGTTGTGCTTCTATTTTTTGTGGTTATTCATTTGGGCATTAATTCATAATTCTTTTTAGAAATCCTCATAAAAAAATCTTGCTAAAATATGTTTAATTACACAATTTTCATTGGTTTTCAGGAACTTGGAAGAGAACGCACGGAACGAAAAAATCGCCCCTTTCTTCTAAACGTAGCAGTCGCAGTAAAACCAACAACACGGGGTCGTGTGCTAGTAGCAGGTAACACAGCTTGATGATGTGTGAAGGATTTCTGGTTATTAAGAGTTGAGGGTTATTCCAGGAGACAGTTGACACCTTGGTAGATGCTTAAATTTAGATGAATGTTAACATTTATTACTAGCCATTTAGAATGGAAGGTTTTTGGTTCACCCATATTTTGGTGTTTGCTTTATGGTGTGGAGTTTCTTCTGTATGGCCCAGTATAGCATTAGAAATGGGGTGTTTTATAATATGGTTATACTGTACAAGCAGTCTCTCCATTAGCTGTAATCTTCTATCCCGGAATTTAACATTACCCGGAAAATAAAATTTTAGCGTTGGTTGATACAGTACAGTACTAGCCGCTAATTCTTAGAATGATGTGCAGTTAAGTACAGTACTGTACTTTGACTTTGAATGGTAAACTATTGAGTTTGTATAATAATTTGCGACTGTTGTAACTACAGCCAGCACTCGTCGAGAGGGTGCGGGAAGGTGAGCTTTGGCAGCAGTGGCTCAGGCATGTCTGGGTCACATGGTGGCCATGAGGGTTCGTCCACATCATCATCAGGCCCCCCACAGTCCTCGCCCCATGGTGCTTGCTCCACCACAGGTACTCCAGGAACCTCCAGCTTAACTGGAGTACCACCAGCCACCACCACAGCCTCTGCTGCTCTTCATGCAGCACCTTCCACCTCCACCACCTCTGGCCTGCTACCTACAGCGTCTCTGGCTACGCTAGGAGGTGAGTGTACAGTAATACAGTATCGTGTATTATTAGTTTGGTCAACTACTATATACAGTTGTGAAAATTGGCTTTTATTGTATTGTTTGCTGTTTTTTCATTAGTAAGGTAGACTTGCGAGTGTAGTTTTTGAGCACTTGATGTTTTGGTTGCAGTAAAAGGTAGTAGAGTTTACAGAATTTAACACGAGACAAATATGTCATTAGTGGTAAAGAACAGAAAAGAACTGCTTGAATATGAATGAGCTGATAAAGAACGGTACAAGTTTCAAGAGTAGCGGCAATTTGGACAGATAAACTAGAACTAGGCATACTGTGTGCTTGAGATGCAGTTAAGGGGAAATCTACAAAAGTGTGTAGATGAAGTAGAAGAGGATGTTATATAATGTAGGGTGAAAGGAATTTAACAGCCAACAGTTACCACAAATAATTTTCCCCCGTTTTAGTAGCCACGAGTCTTTATTCCTGGCAAAATAGGTGTGCAATTTGAAAGCAAAACCAGGATTGTCCCTACATCGATTAATGGTGTTAGGAGTGCAGGAGAGAGGTTCAGTGTGTGCGTGTGTGCCAAGGGCTAATTTCAATAAGATTAACAATCAGTTTGGAATTTAATCTCATAAAACTGGTATATGTTTTCATTCAACTTAAAGAAAGGATTTATGGAGAGTTAAGACACTGGTAAGTATCACAGTGCATGATTATCAGTAGCTGAAGTAGAAATGTGTATTTTTTTAAGTTTTGGTTATTAAAGTGAATTTCTTTTACCATTTACCTTTCCTTGCATTCAAACCAGGGTGACACATGGAGATGTCCAGATATTGTGGCTACTGACTTACCGTGCCAACACCTTCAGGTGGCACACGTGCTCAAAATATTTACTGAAAAATTCTGCTCAAATGGCTTAATGTCCAATTCAGTGGCATAATGTCCAGTTCAGTGGGGCAATGTCTAGGACAGTGGCATTGTGTCTAGCTAAATGCCATGGGCATTTTAGACGATGATGGTCAAGATGAATGACCTTATGATAAGTTGATAGAAATGTTAAGCTAAATGGCATTGTGAAGAACAATTTAAGTGTTAGTGCAGAATATAGACAATTAGAAAAGGGTGAAGAGAGACAACTTAACATGCTGTACAAGTGACCAGAATGAAAAGGAAGAAGGCACTCCAGAAATGTGTCCTGTGTTTAACAGTGTGCCATTTTTTATTACTTACCATCTTGAAGATACAGTAATTCCAATAAACATTACAGCATATGTTTAAAGGGTTCTTTTCATGTCTTTATAACATTTATTTTTGTTAATTGTACTTTGCTCTCGGTTGTACAGAGTAACATGTCTCTAAGACAAACATAAAAGGAACCAGGAATCAGTCCTTGGATTGCAGAGGTCTATCACTATACAGTAACTGCTGTACACATGGTTGTTAGAATGTGTTAAAAGGTCAACATTATCTATAAAGAATAGAGATAAGTCTTAGAACAGTTCTCAAGTTTGTCAGACTTGATGATGGACAACGTTGTGATGAACAATAAATGGAATTTTGGACTATTGCAGTTGTATTTATTTATTTTTGGCAAGCATGCCGGACAACACACTTCCACCGTGGTAAATGGTATTCATGTTATACTCTGTACAGTATACAGTACTGGTGTGGCTTCCTTTGAGAGGGAATTCTTCTCTACAACCAATATTTTGTTCCCATTCTTACCCATAGATTAATTTTTATAATACTGTAGAAGTATATGCATACACAAGCTCATTCAAGATGACAAGAGAAATCAAACTAGTGATGGTAGAGTTAAGGAGACGGTTCCACCTTCTGCTCTAAACCAAACTGCAGTATCTTACAGCGATTTCCCAGTATTACTATACACACTTCCGCCTGTCCCCCAACAAGTCACAAACTTCAGACATGGGGAAATATTGATTACAATCTTGATGGTAGAGGGACTCCCCATATTTTTCAACTATAATTAATGCAAAAGTGGCTGGCTGCCACACACCATCCTTGCCCTCATCATGTCATATGTTTTGTAGTGTGTACAGTACTGTTATTTTTTTAATAATATAAATGTTAACCTAAAAAAGCAAATATATTTGTTTAAAAATTTGTCTTGTGGGTTGGTGGCCTCCTACCAGTTTCCCAAAGAAGAGAACTTCACCAGCATACATTTGTTAATGTCGACCTGTTCTATACCGGGCCTGGAACACTTGAGGGGGAAGCTACCTCGCCAATCTTCAGTTTTGCTCCTTGCTTCTTGATAATTTTCATATTGTTTTAATTTCAAGTGAGATGATTTCTTCCACTGTGGTGGTGGTCAAGAATTAGCCCTTTTGTGTAATCTCGGGATAAATGGACATGGCATTGGAGGGGAGTGCCCTGTGATCCACATTATATGCAGATCATTCATCCAGGGTCGCACCGATAGCTAGTGAACACAGGATGTGACTTAGTTGTGCAGCGGCGAGTTGGGATGATGTCATCTACAATAAATATTCCACCATACAACTCGAACATTACACAGCCATAGACATTGTTCATGAGTTCTGGTTTAATTTTAGTTGCCATTTAAATTTGGGACAACAATGTGGGCCTGGTCAGTGCAAGGACTTGTTTGGATGCGAGTGCTGAAACCATCCAGGTTTGAGCAAACAAATTTGCTCGTCAGTGACTGGAGTTGTGACACAGCTTTCTTTTAATGTCACAAACCAAGCTTTAACCACACTCGGTCACTGGCGCCAAGGTGTACTTTGCTTTTGATCCCCTTCAGAGCATCAGAGGTTGTTCTGACCATTTTGGTCACACTTCTTTTGCTTGATCTTCAGGTTGAACTTCCAAACCACCTTACAGCTGAATGCTTGAACCAAGCAACAAAGGATGCTGGTAGTGTGGCTCTCCGGACCACCTCCACTTACAGTGCACTCTCAGCTCTCAACATTCCCCGCCATACTTTTCCATTTCAGCCATAGGTGGTGGAAGTAGCAGTGGAGCAAGTGGTGGAGGCCTAGCTGGCAGCATTGGAGGACTCATGGGTGCACCTACAGATAGTGAAAGTGAGGAAAATGAGATGGGACGGTTAGAAACTCTGTTGGCATCGCGTGGTCTTCCTCCTAGCCTGTTTGGGGCATTAGGACCTCGCATGCAACACATTTTACATCGCTCAGTTTCTTCTTCCATTAGTAAGTTTATAATTGGATGTTGTTTGAAAATTAACAATTTATAATTGTAATTATTTTGTCATGCGTACTGAATGACATTCAATACAATTATTTGTGTGGGTGATAGAAGACCATATAGAAAGTCTTCAAGTGACATAAAGATGCACGAGCTCGCCCGAGAGAGCACCGCTGTGAGCGGGAGGGGAGGGTCGGTGTTCATTGTATTGAGGATTATTAGCCTCGTCCAGTGTTTTGAACTGTGGGGTCTGCCACTCACTTTTACCAAGCACTTCATCAGATTGCAGTTTTCTCTGCATCTGCCTTATATGGTTTCCCCAACTGTTAATCTTCTCTTGGACCTTCAAGACAACCCATAATCTTTTTAATCTCATTTTCCCTCATTACAAGTGATAGAGTACTTAACTTCTTTTGTGAACCAGACAAAAATGCAGAATTTTTCAATATATGTTTCAAGCTTTACTGTTAACAGATAATACGTACTTCAATCGAGGATATGTTGCCCTGCTCTGAATGCTGAGAAAGGGTTTTGACAGCATGAGATAAGTAGGCTTCTAGGCAATTATTTTTCGGATGCATTAGCCATATTTTATGAAAGAGTAAAATGAGATTTATTTCACTTTAATCAACTTTTAATTATTTGATACAGATTCCAAAGCCCAGCAGCTCCTTGTAGGCCTGCAGGCAAATGGAGAGGAAAGTGAGCAGCTTCAAGCAGTGATAGAGATGTGTCAGCTGCTAGTAATGGGCAATGAAGACACACTGGCAGGCTTCCCCACCAAGCAAGTAACTCCAGCACTAATTAACTTGCTTAACATGGAGCACAATTTTGATATGGTAAGTATATGTTGTCCCCTTAATTTTCTGAAATCATGTCTTCTTACAGAACATTCATTGTATGTGCAGTGGATGTATGGTATTTAACTCAGGCAGTGAAATGGATATATAGAAAATGGATCAAATGAATAATTGATTCAATATCTGTAGGTTATTTTGTCCATATTATTAGTGATATATTAGATAAATATTACATCATGTCAGTGGGGTTAGTAATATACTACTACATAAAAGCTACATTTCAAGCATTTAATATTGTTTTCAGATGAATCATGCTTGTAGAGCCTTAACCTACATGATGGAGGCTCTGCCCAGGTCTTCAGCCGTTGTGGTGGATGCTGTACCTGTGTTCCTAGAGAAGCTGCAGGTCATCCAGTGTATGGATGTTGCCGAACAGTCGCTCACTGCCCTTGACATGCTCTCCCGCAAGCACTCCAAGGCAATATTGCAGGCTGTAAGTTTTTTTATCACTCAAATAAAAAAAATCTTAAGATGCATTTATATTTTAATGCACGTCGGGGAATTAAAAATGTGTAATTTGCTCTAACTTAACAAGAAAAGAAATAAATGACTCCAAAACAAATGACTGTCTCAGAACCAGTCCTCTCAGTCTCTTTAGTGGAGAAGGGCAGTAAATATATTAGCAATGGATGGAAGTGTAATGGAAAATATCGCTGGTATATAAACCTTCATTTGTGAGAGATGAAGCAAACTAAGTAAAATGGACATCTTTTCCAGCATGGGGTGTCTGCCTGCCTAACGTACATAGACTTCTTTTCCACTGGAGCTCAACGTGCGGCTCTGAGTATCACGGCCAACTGTTGCCAGAACCTCACAGCTGATGAGTTCCACTTCATCGCAGAGTCTCTTCAACTCCTGTCTACAAGACTCACTTCACAGGTAAGAGAAGCAATCCTAAAATTTCATATAAAAGTACAATAGTGTTTAATTTGCCTTCCTCAGAGCTGTAGAGTAGAAATATAATTAAATTTTTCCTGGGAGTGGCAGGGGGAATTAGGTGGCATTGTTTTTTTTTACTGGAAAAAGATTTTTAATATGAATTTTATATAATTTTTTATGCATAATGTAAACTAAAATTTTTGCTGTTTTGCATTTAGTCATATACTGTATATAACTACATGATGTACCCACAGGGAGACAAGAAATGTGTGGAGAGCGTGTGCTTGGCCTATAGTCGACTGGTAGATTGTTTCCAAAATGACCCGAACCGCCTTCAAGAAATAGCTGGCCCTGGCCTTCTTTCCAACATTCAACAACTAGTATGTCATCAGTTTGGATTACCTGTACTTCTGTATATGATTTAAACTTTGTAACTGATAATGACATTGTTTATATCTAAAGGGTGACAGTGAGGAGATTTGCTAGTTATGAAAATTTTACAGTACTAAGATGACCTTTGTAGGAGGAAGCCTGCACACCTAACATTTATTTCTTCCACGAACAGCTAGTCATGTCCCCACCCGTGTTAAACAGTGGAACATTCATCATGGTCATACGAATGTTGTCCCTTATGTGCAACAACTGTCCTGAACTGGCTGTGCAACTTCTCAAAAACAATATTGCACATACATTGTGTTACCTCCTCACCAACTCAACAGAACCTCCTGGGGAACAAGTAAGGACAGTGTGTTGTGTAGTATTAGTCATTTATAATCGGGCTTTTTTCTCATACTGTACTCCAAATATGTTGGTCTTCATGCCCGGCAAATGTTCCCTCGGAAATGAACATAAGTGTTTTGACTGCTCTTGATTTGGAAGCTAAGGTTTTATTGTGTATTGCCTATTTAAGTTGAGTTTATGAACAAGTGTGTATATGTGTAGAGTATCTGTACCCTTGTGGTTTCTATGCACTATTATCCACGCAACATTAAAGTAAGAACGTTGCTAATAATTTATATTGGATTTGTCAACAGGTAGAATTAGTATCTCGTAGCCCTCAAGAGTTGTACGAGATCACATGTTTAATTGGAGAGTTGATGCCTATGCTTCCTTCTGATGGCATCTTTGCAATTGATGGGGCCTTGCAGCGACCTTCAGGTTGTGCTCAGGATACGGTTATGTGGCAATGGCAAGATGAGAGAAATACCTGGCAGAATTACTCTACAAGTGACTCCAGAATAATTGAGGTAAGCTGCATAAAAGGCTTACAGTAGGCTTCATTTTCCCATGCTTTGTATAAGAGTTGAGGATATGAGCAAGTATGTTTGGTTATGTTGTCTTAACCTTGTCCTGTTACTTTCTGAACTTATCTTGCACAACTATCCTCATCCTCCTCCCACTGGGGGGGGCTTATGGTTGCCACCAGCATCATAGGACATAATTTTATCATGTGGAATACAAACGGGCCAGAGCCCAAGCTTGTCAGGTTTTAAAGAATGCCTGTCGCCAGTCTTTTTCTTATGTATGCTAAATGAAAAAACTCCCTTGACCCAGGTATGGCGTGTGCAGAAAATAGCAGGCATGCTTTCATCTAATCCTCCCCTAGTACTCAGGGCTAATGATGGCAGCTCAGTTGCCCTTCCTCTTCCCTCCCCTCCTCCCTCCCCTCTTCTTTCTCCCTCCGCCTCCTCTCTTCTTCTTCCTCCTATAATTTTTTGTCCTTGCTCAAGTAATTTTTCTCAATTCTTTCTTGAAACTAAAAAGCCCCCAAAAGTGCTTGATTTACTTAACCAAAGTAAACTACCAATTCATTAAATGTGTATAGGATGTGGAGTTGGCCATTAGGTGAATGGTTCATGAGAGCAGCTATGTTATACCCTGCTGAAAACATGCTTGCTAGGCAGCTTGTACAGAAGTTGTTGCTGTAAAGGAGAAATAAATGTTATCCAGAGATGAAGACAACCCAGTGCAGTACAGTCATTTTTTTTGTTACCAATTGGCCTACTGATGTGTCTCGGGTTGTGTGTGTTTGGCTGTTAAACCATTTCTGCTTACTATCTCCAGCAACAGGACAGCATTAGGAACAGTTTCTAGCCCTTCACTTGGTAGTCCTGTTATGCTGTCGGCTCTTTCATGAAACTTACTTCATAAATAAATTGAGGGTTTAGTAAATTACAATTCTCTCTCTCTTATTTAGCATTCTCACCAGTCAGGGGAGGATGAAATAAGCCTATGTATTCAAGGCCGTGCCTACACCATAGATTTTCACTCGATGCAGCAAATCAACGACAACTCTGGCAACATGCGGCCTGTTCAGAGGCGCATGGTGCCTGTAGGCTTAGGCGGAACTGTGCTTACGGCAACTCAGGTTAGTACGCCACACCCAACGGTTTCTTGGTGATATCATGTTGGTTATACGGATTTTGATAATATTGGTTTAATTTCTTGGTTATTTTTAGTTAATGCTGGACTATGTATCTCACAGGCTACAGATGCTAGAGCAAAGTGCCTGCGTGAAGACTCGGAGTTGGCATCCAATCTCATCCGCTCTTTGTTTAGTTTGTTGTATGAAGTGTACAGCTCTTCTGCGGGACCAGCTGTGCGATACAAATGTTTACGCGCACTGTTGAGGATGGTGCAATTTTCCAGTCCTGATCTTCTGCAGCAAGTGTTGAAGAGTCAGGTAGGTCCTTGTGATTTCCCTTAACCGGTGGCTAAGGCTGTTACTCCCAATCTAATTCCACCTCTTTTAATGTTGCTGTACATATTAATACATCCTACACAAACTGTACAGTATAGTAACATGTGTGGTATTGCAGCTTTTGAATCTGTAGATAAGGAACTGGAAGGCATAGCATGTTATAAGTCTAAATATTAAAAGTTAGCTCTTAAGATGAAACATGAAAATTTGTATGATATTTAGTACAGTACTTAAAAATAAGGATGGAACTCGGTTGTTTTCTTAACCATATTTCTGTGCTTACAGAGTGTTTCATCTCACTTGGCCACTATGTTATCATCCCAGGATTTAAAAATAATTGTTGGAGCCATTCAAATGGCAGAGATCCTCATGTTAAAGCTGCCAGAGATATTTGCAATATACTTTCGCCGTGAAGGAGTTATGTATCAAATAAAGCGGTTATGTAATCCGAATGCCACCCTGGGAGCGCCGACTGCTAAATGGAGCAGCCCCGAGCTATCCTTAGGCTCTGGTCGGGGTGGGACTCCAAACTCTGCAAGCCCACTGCTGACAGGCCGTCCATTTAATGGTAACTGCTTGGACTCGACTCCATCTCTCCCTACACCTCCTAGCCAGGACGATGATAAACTACAGAGCCCATCACAACTGAGACTCTATGATGTGCTCAAGCGCAAGCGTACTGCCCGCATGCGTAGTGGGAATTCGAGAAAAAATAGGCAAGAAGATTCCTCACCATCATCATCATTCAGTGAATTCTTCATGAAGAGTGAGTTATGATAGCAATATTGTTACAAGTTTTTCACCTTAGCTTAATGATATAAATTTCCTCTGGAAATGACTTGGGCTGAACAGAATGCAGCATAATGCTTTCTTATCATACATGCCCGTAATTAGAATATTTTGCTCTATACTCCAAATTAATTATTCATTATCTAGATCAGAGTTGGGTATATTTATTGCATGGTTTAGTCACAGTAAAAGTTTAGAGTGGCCAGATGAAAGCCGATGTGCTACTGGTGTTAAATTTTTTAGTAATGATGTTTTGTCAGTGAAACGTGGGGGGTTAAAGAGGGTGATCAAATGCAGACTTAACTTGATATAAGAATGGTGAGGTGGATGTGTAATGTAAAATTAAAAGATGGGAAACTCCATTCAGAGCTAAGATGGTGGCTCGGTATTGAGAGTTGGCCAAGGTTTACATTGAGGTAGTTTGAGATGGTTTAGGGATGTGGAGAGAATGTAGGAGACTAATTGAATTAAGAGATGCAAGAGCCTAAATGTGGAGGAGAGCAGTCCTGGGTAGGCCGAGAATGACATATTTAGAGGTTGCAAGAAATGGCCTCTTGAGTTGAGAATCGGACAAGAGACTGCCATCAGATAATCATAGTTACTCACACAGGTGTGGAAAATTGCTGGAGAACGATAATGATGGGTCACTAGATGTTGGTTTCTACAACAGACAGGTTTATGATTGGGAATTGACGACACTTACTACACTATTACTGATCCTTAAGATTAATTTATGTAACCACAGTTGTTGCTGTTGACTATTAAATCTAACCTTGAACAAGTTGGAAAAATATTGAATGCCTAGATCTATAAATGTGTGAAGAAAATCTCGTCCACATGGCCTACATATCTTATTTTCCCCAAGATGCAGGCTTGGGGGGAGGTCGAGACACCTGGAAAGTGGCTAGTCGTAACAACAGCAGTAATTCCACAACTAGTGGGGGTAGCAGTAAGTCGTCCTTCCTGGCCAACTTCAACCCCACACGCTGGGGAAGATGCAACCCTGCCACTTCCACTCCCTCTCATGAATCGCCTGCTGGAAAGGTTTGTTTTGTGGAAGTAATGTGGATTAGGATTTTGTTTTTTGAAGAATGATTGAATGTGTAAATGTAACTTTACATAGAGAAGTTTTTAAATTATTTTGATAGATGTTGAATCTTTTATTTTGTAAATTTTGTTGGTTATTTACTCATGGTTGATTTTCTGTTTTGTCATTACTGATGAGATTTTGTTACAAAAATTTGAAATTAATGTGATTCCTGGTTTTATTTGTTATCTTGAAACGGAGGAAAATGTTCATCCTTTGTGGATGACGGCATTAACAGGGTTTCTTTATATTGGAATATCAACAGGACAAATTAGTTAGTAACAATGTTAGCAGTGGAAGCAGCAGCAATAATAAGGAAGTGGTGCGAGTGTGGGTGAGGGAGCAGGCAGAGCGACTCAATCAGCAGTTCTTCTCAAATGAATTAACTGTACAAGGAGCTTATCATCCTGCCCTTAGTGTATTAAATAGACTTATGACAGCTCTTCGGCAATTGGAAAAAGAGGTAAGTCAGAATCGATGATTAAACTAATTATATTGCTATCTGTAAACCTTAACCCCCCCCCCCTTAACCACTAAGTGAAATACTGTACAGGTATTAGCACATTGTATGGCATGGTATGGTATATTTGTTTTTGTCAGCTGTTGGTAATATTTTATCTTAAGTGTCCAATGTAGTAACCATAGTGGTCGAGAATTTGGTGTTGAGCAAAATGCATGAATGAATGTCTCTTAGCATAAATAATAAGTACAGTACAGTACTATATAGTGATGATAGATGCATCAAAACCCTCTTAATGTCTGGGGAACTAGGCAGCCCCAGAGCCCTTACTTTGTCTTGTGCACTGTCGAGTTCTTTAGGTAACGTGTGGTATCGCTCGCTTTAATGTATGTGTCTTTATAATCTGCTCTGCATAGTCTAAACAGTACTTAGATGCAGTATTCAAATCTGCCTATTTTAAGACCTGCATTACTGTTCACGTTACTCAACAATTTGATACTGTACTTAATGTTAATGGCTACTCTAGGAAGAAGAATTTTCCCTCCCCTCATCATATCCTGTTGTTAGACCATCCTCTGCAATACTCTTATTCATGATTAAGAAATTGCCGAATTGTGGTGATTTTTCAAGCGTTTTAAATTATTCTAGTCACCTAAGGTATAGTAAAGTATTTAATGTCATGATAAGTCTGTACAGGTCTCTGCTGCAGATGTGACAAAAAGGTCCATTATATACAGGATAGTAAGTTTAATAGTAGAGTAATAACTTTGCTTTTCTTCCACTGAATTGCTTTAAAACTTGCAATAGCACTACCCTTCCCAGGAAGGATACAGGTCATGAAATAGTGAAAAAGGCTAATTTCATATTTGGTGTTTTGAGAGAAATGCAATTGCTAAAGTTTTTTTTTTCAGTTACAGCCTAACTGTGCAGTTGAGGCCTTAAGGGAAATCAGCAGGATTGTTAGCGAGAGTGATATCAGTCCATTTGAAGTGATCCACTCTGGGTTGGTTCGTAGTCTATTGACCTACCTCACTGCCACGGAGAATTCAACTCTGACTCTGTCCTTCACCCACGATGGAGCCATATTGACCAGCATGGGTGGGCTGGGTAGTAGCTCAGAGAATGGAAGCCTCACGGCACCCGTCAACATAAGCACACCACGGGAAACCAGACTCAGGAATTTCCTTCATGTCTTCCTTGGATGCACAGTAAGTTTAAGGGCCTCTCTTACCAAGTCAACTTTAGTATTTAGTTGACCATGTGTGTGTTTGGCAATGTTTGATATACTGTACAACCTTGTTTAAAATCTCCGAGTTTGACAGTCAGAGGCTTTGAAATACTGTTTGGTGGGTGGGGAGGATTGATTTTATTGCAACAGTACTTGACACTTTGCTCATCTTTGTAAAATAATGTATCTCATGGCAGACATTTTTTCCAACAGTTGAATCCACTAAGCCTAGGCACTGTGGACACCAGTCACATTGCATTGTTCAGTGCTCTGGTGACAAAGCTCAATGGCTGCGTCAATCAACTGGAGCAGTTTCCAGTTAAGGTCCACGACTTACCGGGTACTGCTCTTTCGGGTTTGGGTAGAGGAGGGTCGACATCGGCCATCAAATTCTTCAACACACACCAGCTTAAGGTATGTGAAGTGTGTCAGGTAACAGATTAGCTTTATTGATAATTTTGTGACAATTATTTGTGATGTATTTGTGTGTACAGTGATCCCTCTGTTAACGAGCGCCTCGGTTAACGAGATTTCGGTTAACGATTTACCTTCCATAAGATTCTTAACTTCGGTTAACGAGCAATCCCTCGATTAACGAGTTCTTTACGAGCCGACTTCAACATGTTTTCGCTTGCATTTGGCGGTCCACCAGCTGTAGTATTAGTCCGCCAATACAGTAATCGGTTTTAGGGCTTAAATTCCTTACTATTTTAGTAAATATCAAGAAGTTTATACTATTCAATAATTTTAAAAGTTTAATATTAACTTTTTTAGTCATTTTAACAATTATTGAACATAATTGAAGGTAAAGAAACTAGTTTCTGGCGTGCCATCCAGCCTGTTAACACACCAGACAGGCGTTAGTCTCTCTGTTTTCAGTGGAGGTAACATCTTGCTTGAGACTCTCTCAACTAAACGCTTTTTTCTGTGTTTCCAAGCAAATTATTGGTCATTTTGAAATTTATTTTACATATTGACAATATATAATGCAGTGCAGTGTTGATTTAAAGAAAATAATCTTGAATTACACCAAGAGAACTAAAATTTTATGGGTGAAATGGTGCCATGGGGTGACTTCTCTTCCACCCCAATGCCTTCTCTTCTTCCTTCTCCTCCACCCCCATTCTAATTCCCATCATCATCCAGGAGCCTTCTACATACACACCTCAAAGTAAGTGTACTTTTCTACCTTTTTTGTTGAATTTAGGCAATTTTCGGTGAGCTGGAACCATTTACCCAAAACCCATTGAAACAATGGTTTCGGTTAACGAGCAACCTGCTGGAACGGATTGTGCTCGTTAACCGAGGGACCACTGTATGTGAAGGTCTTTATTACATGGTTATTTTCATCTGCCCCACAGTGCAACTTACAACGTCACCCAGACTGCACAAGATTAAGACAGTGGCGTGGAGGACCAGTCAAGGTTGATCCCTTGGCTCTGGTGCAAGCCATTGAGCGTTACTTGGTCATCAGAGGTTACGGTCGACTCAGGGATGAAGATGACGACAACTCCGATGATGACAACTCGGACGAAGACATCGACGATACTTTGGTAAGGTTAACCCCCATTTATTTTTGTTCCATTCCCTTCCTTTAGTTGGATGAAGTGGGGGTTACAGAAACCTCAAGGAAAAGGAGAAATGGTAATACAGTACTGTAGTATAAAACAAGTCATGTATGATTATATAGTACAGTACTATTTAATGCTGATATACAGTATATATATTCTAATAATTGTTGTTTTCTTTAATGCTGATGGGCCATATATATACACTTGGGTCATGCATTATTAAGAATATTTTAGGTTAATATGTGGAGTTGAGGGAACTTGTACAGTACTGTTCCTGTACATAGTTTAATTTGGTGGTGGAAATGGAGAAAGTTATTATAGGCAACTTGTTTGTGGTTTTGATTGTAATTAAGAAATATATTTGGTTTACTACAACATAATTAGTGATTTCACCAAAGCTGTGATTAATAAGAATTTTTTCTTAACAGGCTGCTGTGTCAGTTAACCAGAGTTCTTCAAGTCACAAGCTACAGTTTGTCATCAATGAACATGTCTTGCCATACAACATGACTGTCTACCAGGCAATTAGACAGTTCTCATCACCCTCCGATGCCAGTGCCTCAGAAGCAGACACTGATACGGAGACTCCAGTTTCTCACTCTGCCATCTGGCTACAAACTCACACTATATACTATAGGTATGATCATATATTATCCTCTTGCAATATATGGAACACCTCGGTGGAATTGTAGAATTAAAAAATGTAACATTACCAGATTTATGAAGGCGTCTTTCTCTTGAGAGTTGGTAGTCTTGGTAAATAGTGATTTCTACAATTATAAAATAAGTTCAGTAGTAGTAAGTGAGGGGGAACAATAAAATAAGGAAAGGGAAGATGTGATAAAATTTGATTTTAAGATATGTGGGGAGGGGGGCTTTCTCTGGCCCAAAAACTTAATTAAAAAAATCAATGGTACAACTTGAGGAGCCGACCAACATTGTTACTGATATTTAGTGATTGTTTGTTCCATCTGTTGACTGTGTTCGTCTCTTGGTCCATTTCCATTAAGCTTCGTGTGTTGCTGTCTTGTACTGTGACACATGGTAGAAATATTGGTGTGATTTTGTAGAGTATTTTATCGGCAGATGGTTACTGTCCTTTAGATTATATAGCTTTTGTTTAGTTATTAAAAATTACCTATTCTATATGGTGATGAAAATAATTAAAGAAGGGAGACAGGAAATAGATGGGAGGAAGTGGAACAAAAGAGACAGTAGCGAGAAAAAAATAATTAAAAGTTACTCTTTATTTCCCCCACAGACCCGTTCAAGAAGAGGAACAAAGTCGGAGTTCAGGAGGAAGAAAGGGGAAGGCTGGAGGATCCAAAACCAGCCCAAAGAAGAAAGCTGACACCCATGTTGGAGGTAAGCTTTTTGATTTTGGATTACAGGTATTATTTTGATCACCAGTTTTCATGTTGGTGTAATGTGAAATAATTGTATTTTGTGCCTGGTTATTTGTTACCAGGACTAGGTTTACAGTAGGTTTTCCATTTCCTTTAGCTATGTTGAGTGTTTTAGCAGTTTGTTGAAGGCATTTAAATATAATATTAATTTTTACTTTGCTTAACCGTGCAAAGAGGCAGCTATATTATCATTAGTATAGCTAAATTAAAAAAAAAAATTCTTAGACCTGCATAACTTTCCTCTTAACATCTGATGATTTACTCTATTGTCCTCACTGTTAAGGTGATATTAACCACATACTGGACAGATACTCGAATGATACGTGTTATTGTTTGCTACTTGTGCCTTCGTTTCTTTTCAGATGGAAGCATTGTGGGAGGAAATAATAGTGTTCTAGACCAGTACCTGACTTTTAATCTTCCGGCTAGTGTGACTGTCTTTGATCCAAGTATTGAAGTGTTGGCTCTACTGCGTGTCCTTCATGCCCTGAACAGACATTACGGCTCCCTCTACCCCCCAGCCTGCTACCCGTCCCCTCTACCCACTGCTGAATTCACAAATCTCAAATTAACAGCTAAAGCAAATAGACAGTTGCAAGATCCCTTGGTTATAATGACAGGAAATGTTCCACCGTGGTTGCCTCAAATTGCTTATGTTTGGTAAGTACAGTACCTCAGTCTTTTCATTAAAGGTGAAATTCTGCCATACAAGTCACAAATGTTTTTAGTGCTAGTGTACATAAATTTTCGAATTTTTTAATTCTTGTTTCAGTCCGTTCCTGTTTCCATTCGAGACCCGCCAGCTGCTCTTCTATGCAGTTTCTTTCGACCGTGACCGAGCCTTACAACGACTCATGGACTCGTCTCCTGAGCTTAATTCTGTTGACAGTAGTGAAAGAGTTACCCCAAGACTTGAAAAACGCAAGAGAACTGTGTCTCGTGATGATATTCTCAAACAGGCCGAGTCTGTGATAAGTGATTTAGCTTCCTCAAGAGCCATGTTAGAAATTCAGTACGATAATGAGGTGGGGACAGGTTTAGGGCCAACCTTAGAGTTTTATGCTCTTGTTTCTAAAGAGCTCCAGAAGGCAGACTTAGAGTTGTGGCGTGGTGAAACTGTTACTGTGGAAGAGAGAACTGAAGATAATCCTGGAAAAGCGGTGAAGTATGTTAATGCCAGCAATGGCTTGTATCCGTTGCCTGTACCCAGAAATATGAAATCTGCACACATGACTAAATTAAGAACAAAATTTAGATTCCTTGGAAAGTTCATGGCAAAAGCTGTCATGGATTCAAGAATGGTGAGTGAATACTTGTTAGTTTATTTTTTTATGATGTACATAATGGGTTTTGTGTATAAATTTGCTTTCTTACTAACCGCTATCTGCCAGTGATGGGGAAGTTTGCCAATAGGAGTTATTAAAAAGACCTTTTAACTCTTAATGACTGAAAACCTTGTCAGATTATTCTCCAAGCTGCTTCAAGATCACCGAGCCCACAGGTTGTTGACCAATGATTTTCCTTTTCACAACTTAATTGGTATAAACATTTTACCTCCACCACCCCTGTCTGCTATATATAAGAATTGGTAGGGTCACATTGGTCAGTACCCTTGTCCCACTGGCTTAGATGGAGAGATGGAGAGGCAAGCGTACTGTACTTCAAATATACCACCAACTCCCTTAACCTAATGTAATACTGGGTAGTGCATTGTTCTAGGGTGATATTCTCCTCATGCTAACTTATTTTTATTTTCTGGGAGATACCCTAAACTTCTAGTATAAAGAATGAAGATTAATTCACAAACTGAGAGGATTTGGGTTAAAGATGAAATCTGCTCTTGATAAATAAAATGATATGGAAATTTTATGGATTGACCTATGGTAATTTTAGATACCAGTTAAGAGCAAAAGTTGTGTACTGTAAACTGGTATACATCATCAGATTTAGCTGCCTATCATGAAAAAGGTCTTGTAAATTTGTCTTTGCGGAGCAATGAAAAGTGGGATTTTTGTCATTTACAGACAGTAGTTACCATTGAATAGTACTGTACTGTTCAGATTATTGCACAGGTAGAAGATGCTAGTTATTGTGCCGAGTGGTACTACTTAAGATAGACGGTGAGTTTCTATGAGAAAAATATCAAATTGGCTGTTAATCATCATTGCTTTTTTGTAAGTCTCATTGAAACTCCTGTGTTTAATTTATATCAGGTGCCCGAGATTAGGTGTTGCCTCTTAAAGGTATTAATGCTAACTAATGTTTTACTTCATTTTCCAAGTCTTCAGAGATGTTGCTCCCTCTTCCCTTTGTTGAAGTATCTCTATACCCCTGGTCCAATCCCAACAAATTTGAGCATATTAAGGTAGTAGATGGAACTTCATTTCACTCGTTTTTGTTAGAAAAATCAAAGTTCTAAACAGACTTGCCAGCACATGGATCCTAGCTAGTATTACTAGTCCCTTGGAGCTCCTGACCGTCCTTAAGGCTATAGATTTACAGGGATCGAGCATGGCTGTGTTCCCGCTGGAGTTTCATCATTTTCGGTAATGCTTTATAACAAATTAACATGTTGTATTAAAAGTACATAATTTATCCATCAAAAAGTTATCAGAAAATTATGAGTGATATAAAAATTGTGTGAGTAAGCCATTTCTTAAATGTGCTTATACAGTTCAGTATTATATGGACTTTATAGTATTGATGAAAGGTTGGGTTATTTTCAGCCCTTGGTCTCCTTGTCTACCCTTGACCAAATTCTGGGATGGTCTGTATACATGTATGGTAAGCATATTCTTATTCCTGTTAATCTCTCATTACACAGCTGGATTTGGGCCTTCATGAGTGTGTATACAAATGGCTGTTGAGTGAGGAATGGTCCCTGGGTCTAGGTGATGTAACTTCACTTGACCCCACACTGGGACACACACTAGATCGCCTTCACTCCACTGTGTTACAAAAGAGGCGGGTCGTGGTACAGGCTGAGCAGGAAGGAATCTCGGGGGCAGAGCTTCAGGTATGTGAGCGTGTTGTCAGTGACCACATGTTCAGTGAAATGTCATGCAATTGGATGTTTATTGAATTTCAATAATGAATTACTTTCGTTATGTTTAACATAACAATTTAGTACATAAATATTAATAATTCTCGACACAATTACCTTCAGGGTCGACTGGATGCTCTGACAGTAGACGGCTGCAGTGTGGAGGATCTAGCACTGACCTTTACATTGCCCGGCTATCCTAACATAGAGTTTAGAAAGGGGGGCTCAGATATATCTGTTACTATCAACAACCTTGATCAGTATCTGCAGGTAAGGATTGTTAGACATTCAGTATTGACTTGTACAGTACAGTTATTTTTTTATTTGACAATTCCAACTGATTATTATATTTTAGTGTGAAATAAACAAGATCAGACTCTTTCCTGTTGATTTTTAGGTTCCTGTTTATTGCAGGTCTTAAAATATTGCTATCATTTAGGGTTCTCAAATAAAACATGACTGTACTGAAAAGGGAGTGATTACCCCAAGTCTTTTTGGCCTGAGCTAAGAAACCCAACAAGATGTTTGCTTATGATCCATTACTCGTTAACCTTTCCTGTTTGTCTATCATAATTCATGCCTTGCTTAATGAAAAAAATATAGCTTTAAGCGTCAAAAATGTGCTTGTATAGAATCCTGTGACTGCTGAAATGCTATATAGAACAGGCATGTAATGACTTGTTCTAATGGAAGAGGATATTGATCATGATTTATTCTGACAGCTGGTGATAGAATGGTTAGTGCGGGAAGGAGTGAGAAGACAAATGGAAGCCCTCCGGGAAGGATTTGAATGCGTGTTTCCGTTGACACAACTCCACGTCTTCTACCCGGAGGAGTTGGAACAACTGTTCTGTGGCTCCTCAGATGTATCACAGTGGGACATGAAGCAGCTTGCCGAGTGTTGCCGTCCCGATCACGGCTATACGCACAATTCTCGAGCAGTCAAGTTCCTGTTGCAAATATTGTCTGAATATACACCTGCTCATCAGAGATCTTTCTTGCAATTTGTTACAGGTTCACCCAGGCTTCCTGTTGGAGGCAAGTTGAAAATCTAATTGTTGGCCTCTGATGTACTGTACTTAACTAGATAAGACTGAAGGAAGTGTGTGCAATATGGAGATGTACAAATTATGCTTTACTTAGAATGTTAAGATTATACTTTGATGTCAATATTGATGACAAGTATAAAATTTATGCTGTCACTTTATCTAAACTGATTTTTCATCTTTTTGTACAGGTTTTAGAAGCCTAACCCCAGCACTCACTATTGTGAGAAAGACGTTTGAGGCTGGAGAGAATCCTGACGACTTCTTACCCTCTGTGATGACTTGCGTTAACTACCTGAAACTACCAGACTACTCCAGTATTGATATTATGCGTGCCAAATTGGAGATAGCAGCCAGAGAGGGTCAGCACAGCTTCCACCTCTCATAGGATGAACTCTGACAGACTAGCAAGCTGATGCTCAACCCACCAATTTTTGGGCTTCACATTGTGATATCCTATACAGTTTTGTTTTGGTGCATTGTGTCCAACATCAAATGTGTTGTCAAGGTAAAGTGTGACAAGAGACAGTGAAGAAAAGTGGAACACTGTGTCGTATTTTCTGCTCATAAAACCTTATTGCCAGATGGCAAAGCATTTATTGAAAAGTCATGGTAGTGATGATAATTATGATTTGTGATTTCTATATCATTCCTGGGGATGTATTCTTACTTGTGCCTGGTGACAACTTGTCAAGAGTTCTCCACCTTCTCATGGCCCTCACCTCAACAGTACAGCCTAATTTATTATGTATTTGTAGCTGCTCAGCTCTTACTGACTCGGGGGTAGCAAGACCCCTGCAGCTGGTTAAGTGTTTAGCATCTCCATACCTCATGAAAAATTATTAGACTTTAGCAAATTGAATAAATATTTGGACATCTTTCTACATCAGTGCTTTATTTTTAGCCTTGTATTGTTTTTCAGACACAATAGATTTGGAAAAATTCTCTAGTACCCATTAAAAATGAACTGTGATATCCCCATTTTTCAGGTTTCCACAAGCAGCTTTGCTTACATCCTCTGGTTTCAGTTGCCACCATTTAATGACTGATGTTGGGCACACTGGAGAACTAGGATCCCAGCATTTTCAACTTAGACCACAAATCATTAATTCCTTTGAGTTATTCAGATGAAGACATATTTTACTGAGCATTAGAATGTTACCCATTACTTGATCTCGTCATTGTTTCCATTTGGAGAATGTTAAGTCTTTTGTTTGTTTCTTTAATTGCCCGCCTTATGGTATACCATACAAGTGTGGGTCATTGTTAGAATTTTGAGTTTATGGTACTGTACATATAATTTGCTCATTGTAAATGAGAACCCAGAACCCGAAGGCAATTTAGTTTGGTTAGTGTACAATAACTTGAACCATCACATTATGTTGGGGGACCCTTCTCACTAACATTGCTTATGAATATCAGTCCTAGTCATTTGAAAGAGCGTCACAATGGTTATAATTGTATTTTGTTTAGGTTTGTAGACAATGGTTTAATAAGGCCAAGAATGCATTTCTTCAGTTAATGTATAAATTGAAGTTAAGACAATTCACACAGACAAAAATACATTATTTATGGAACATTTTGTTTTACCATGCTCAATTTTTTTTATATCAACTTCAGTTCAATTTTTCTGGTAAAAACTGCAGGTCAGTGCAAAAGCAAGAATGGGCATTATTAGTAGTGTTTAAAAAAGGATCGGGTATCTTTGCAATGTAGTGTACTCCTCCTAATGTCGTTACTGTATCTTCAAAATTGATTTTGGTTTCAATTGAGGTATAGTTTTAGTTTTGTCAGTATTTCTAAAGGTACAGTTTAGATGTTGGTGGGGCTACCAGAATATTAAACCAAATATATTTAAGTAAATAACTTTTTATAATAGTTGTTTGACCTTGACTGGTTCAGGAGGACACAAGTTTAACATTCACATGCCACATGGATTAGAACACAAGGATAACTTATGGCAGTTGGAAAGCATAAAGCTAAGCATTATTGAAGGCTGAGCCTGGCTGTAGAGTGAAGACTGGTTATGCATTCAGCCAACAAACTAAACTGAAAAAAGTTTGTATTTTTTTGGTTACATAATCACCGGTCATTATCTTTTTTCTCATGTTTTTCTACCATCTGCAGTATTGAGTTCATTTTCTTTTGCCTTTGGGTATTATTGTGTTATTGAGACACCTGCTGGATTGGCCTTAAACTGCTCTCAAATTTTATATATTTTTGTTAAATGGAATATTTTTTATTTATTATTGATAGTATTCTTTGGCAATCAGTTTGACAGGTGTGGAGTCGTGAGTGTTTTCAGGTATACAGGAAATGTATAAGTGTAATGAGGAATTGTCTTGGGCTTGTGTGACAGTCGTGCTTTCTTTGGTACAGAACAGGAAATTGCCTTGATACTATTGAAAGCTATTTGGTAGGTCATGTCTCTACACCTGTCGTTCTGAGCTGGCCCATAAATTGATGCTCCCGGCATGTCCATTGTATGTATTGTGAGTACATGTCATGTTTATCAGTGCCTACCTTAAATATCAGATTGATGTATATTATAAGTATATTCAGAAATCACATAACTGTAATACACAGTACATAATAGTTTTTACAGAATACAAAATGTGATAATGTAATCAGTACCCAAGAACATGTCGCTATGAATGTGTAAGCTAAGTTTTTGTATTTGCCTTGTGAACCTCAGTTGATTATTGGTAGTAACTTTTGTGATAGTACTTTTTTTAGTCACTTTCTTTTTGTGTGTAATTGAGTATTAAATTCAGCACATATTGAAGTTCTTGATTGTCCTTTTTATTATTCATTGTTTTTAAAACCTGTATGCATTTTAATCATTGTTGGTCTCTATCTCTCTCTCTCACAGGTGGAGAGCATTTCGGTGGGATAGATGCAACCATTCTCATTATGCCTGCCAGCTTAGGTCTCTTGGAGAGGTTAAGAAGTTATGGTTGAAACCTTGTTTGTTCTAGAAACCAACCTATACAGCAGTTCAGCTGATGAAACATCTGGTGTGTTGTTTGGCACCCAAATGTGTAATGCTGTACTGTACTGTAATAAAACTAAAGCAGATCGAGAACAATTATACATACCCTGTACTGTACATGATGTAAGTATAACCTTAAACCCTGTTGTGGGCAAGTCCTAAGTCACGAGAAAATCTGTTTATTGACACAACAGCCAAATTACATTTGGTATTTTATGATGTATATACCTGCATACATAAACCTGTGAATGTTTGTGTTCTTGTGAGTGTTAGTGGATGTACTGTAAAAGTGTCCTATTGTAATAAGATCATCAATTTTCCTGAGACTTGCGGTAATCCTGGATTTTGATTATGTAAGGGAACCCCTGCATCATGGCGTGGGATGGTTATACAGTAGAAAGTAATGGTGGAAGATCAGGGAAACCAGTAATCTTTACTCTACAAGGAATTCTATGCTGGAAACTAAAAGCTATGTGATATTCTACTGAAATACTGACCTAAGGGCAATGACCAAATTGTGTTCTCGATGAAATGGGCGAGAAAAGTGAAGAAATGACAGATTAATGTATACCAGAAGTGAAATATTGTTGGTAAAAGTAAGAGCAAAAGAGGGACGGTGTTATGTAAGGACCTGTCAGTTACTGAGGTTATAGAGAATGGTAAAGGCTGCTAGTTACTGAGATTATAGGTCTGTCCACCCCAGTAAGTTTATGAGGATGTTTCTTGGGCTGCCACGGCTTTTATTGACTTGATGTTTACCATTGTTTGCATACTGTCTCGATTCATACTGAAGTATTGTAAACTTGAATGACGATTTTACTGACTACTACTATTTATCTATGGATAACTGCATGTAGTTGGATAAGGCTCTTGCATCATATCCCCTATCATCTCAATAAACGTATCAATCTTGCATCATAAAAGAAAAATGCTGAGTTAAGTTTTACTTAGGATTTGCTCTATACTGCCAGACTGGGAGTCACTAATACTAAGGGTAAATACTTAACTAATCTTAATTTCTAAGGGTCGCTGCCACCAGACCCCCTCTGGACAGCATGTACCTCGTTAGGTAGCGTGCAGAGTGGACTAGGCATTGGGTTAGGATTTCCATTGACCAGATCGATAAGGGGAAAGAAGGGTGAAACCATAACATGTCTTAATTAATTTATTCCTTATAAAGCATACTGGTAAAAAACATACAATTGAATAGGTCTTCCTCAGAAGAACAACGAAAATGTTGGTTACCCAGATGGGCACCAGACGTCTTACATTAATGGCGTGTCATCCACCTACTTACTGCATAACAATCTGTGACCACCTTACCTCGGTCATTCCTTCTTACACTATCCCTTAATACATCAGACTGCTCCACCTGTATGGAATTTAGCACCGTCGGTTATCATACATAGTAGCACCATCTCAACACCTGTTACACTCCATACCTGCAGGTATGGGACTCCTTGTGACTTTTAGGTATACACAACAGGCACCTCGTTCGCACACCGCCCTCGGTGAGTAAAGACAAGGGCTTCACTCAGAGACATACCAGTACTATTTCTACGCCTGGTATTATAGGTCGCTCCAAGTCACGACCGCAGAGTTTCTCACGGTCTCCTTATTTGTTCTACTCATTTGGAGTGGTGTGCTGGAAATCCACAGGTTCACAGTGGAGTGGCATAGCTGGGAGTAGTCACCACCTGTTGGGACGCTCATAGGGATAATGGCTGCCGGGCAGCAAGGCACTCCGACCGCATGGAACCTGAGGTGACGGTAGAACGGAGGGTACTGAGAACAGGCAAAGCTTTAAGCTGTAATAACTTCTATATAAGCCTTAATTATAGGGCGGGATATAGCCCGATAGGACACTGACCTGAGGTGACGGTAGAACGGAGGGTACTGAGGGCAGTGCCCTGCCGCTCTTCACCGCATAGGCCTACAGTTTCCACTCTAATTTTTACTTTTATTTCTTACAGTTCTCACCTGAACACTTTTCGGTATATTGTCACTCATGCCGTATAAACACCTATTTTAATCCTAAATTACACACTAAGGTAAGGTCTTGGTTTGCTAGTTCGCGGGTAAATTCATTGGGTTATAATATCAACGCGGCACACCCGAGGCGGGTACATTGCACTATTTGAACACAGACATAAGATTCTCTGATCACTGTACCTGTCGTGGGTATATGTCACGTGAGGATACGAGGTGTATTAAGTTCATACCGACTCATACAAGATATTTCCTTTCAAGTATAGTTTCTGGGTCACTTCCAACACCTCACATAGTTCTGATACATTTATCATTTCTCCAGATCATTGTTCTCATGTATTTTCATATGATATCTGTGGAAGTTATGTTCGCTACACGCTTACAGACGTAAATAGTATGACCTTCAAACAAACCCTGATCCACACTTAGTCCTACAGTACACTAGTCCGGCTCAACTGGACTTTAACATTCATCTTATGGATACCCTGAGTTCTCCTTAATGCTATGAATACATACAATTAATATGATATAACTGTACCTGGGTACAATGCAACACATGGTCTAGTAACATTGAGTAGGTGAGTTATCCTTTATCATTGTTTCCCGTTTTCTGGGGTTCTACAAGAGCGGTGGATTTGAATGTTATATAGCTTAATATGAATTAAATGGGGTTTTTAGGAATGACAATGATGTGCGTAGTACAGCTCTTTGTCTTGTAAACAACCTACTTATGATCCTTGAATAATCAAAAAGCCTAGTTTAATTCGTTAATAAAAAAAAGTTTAATTCGTTGGGCGATTACCGTATTAGTAAACATTCAAAACTTCTGAATTTAAAATATATTAGCAATATAAGCTGTAGTTTACGAGTAATATAATAATAGTATTTTAAGAAGTAAGAATTAAAAATATTTATACGGCATGAAATCTTATGTTGCCAAATATAAAACTCGAATTGTTGCGCATCCTGCTGGTAACTACTGTACGAGTTGGCAACTGTGCAGAGTGGTGTCTGGCTAGTGGAGGTTGAGGTCCAGGCCAGGCGAGTTCAGTCACATTTGTGTGTAGGTGAAGTAAGGTACTTGATACACCAACCAGTCCGTGTTGGCACAGGATTTATAACTTCTCTAGACAGTGGAGAGCTGATGTGATTAAAATTCTGGCTCGTAAGGTACAACATTACTAAATTAAAATTGAAGTGTGGAGTGGTGGGCCATAGTGTTGTCAAATGTTTCGCTTGGATAAATACGAGTGTGTTGTGTTACCTTGGCGTTAAAATAGTGTGACAGTGAGACATTATGCGTCATGTCGCGAATTACATTTTATCTTGATTATTTTACATCATTCCACATATTGCCATCCTCAGAAATATTACAATAGTCAATGAATTAGTGACCAGATACGCAACAGTTAATACTAAATACCGAAATAATTTTGACGTGTTTGTTACAATTCTTTATACCCGTGAGGACGATGCATACCGAAAATTGGACTCCGGGAATAAGTTGTGGTAGTGTGGAAGTGTGAGAAAGGCGGAGTTACCATCACCGAGATTTAACCGCGGAGAACTGGTGGGATGGCGACGGACGAGGATGCCGACTACGACTCTGAGGACTCCTTCACCTCCAGCAGTTACGGTGAGTTAATCCATAGTGTTCAGTTATAGACCAAGAACAGCTAACAAAGTCATAAGAGGCGTGTGTCCAGTAGAGTCCTTGTACCATCAGTATCTGGTGGTGTTAGGGCCAGGCGGTCACCCATCCAAGTACTAACCAGACCTAAGGTTGCTTAACTTCGCTGATCGGACACTAAGCGGTGTTTCTCGGTGGAGGATTATTGTCAAGTTAACCATAACATTCGATTCTATTGAAAATTTGGCATATGATCAAGATGTATAAACATTGTATATATTATTATAAGTAGATAATATTTTGTTTAGGAAATAAATGTTTCCTGCTGGCGGGGTTTCAGCTCACTCCGTAAAGTACAGTATGCATTGTAACACACAAGCCATATTATTTATCTGAGATTTTATCATACTACCATCGGAAAGCTGCAGTATAACCTTGTGGAACATTATCTAAACTTCCACAGCATCAGTCACTACAAGCGCTTTAGTTAAAAATTCAGTGATATATTGATTACACTGGTGTCCGTCTCCTCTACCTTGACATTTGTCTACTTTAGGTGCATGTATTAAAATAACCTCTTCACATTTTCATAGTTAGTGGTCATACACACACACACACAGGTTAAATTTTTCACTCGAGGTATTAACCACATTTAATTAATGGCTGGTCGCGGAATCGCTGATGACACAGAAAAGTAGTACACTCAGCAGAGCAGCAGAGAAACATTCGTAATTGTTATCAGTAGGTCGTATTGCAAGTGAAAATGCGGACGCTCAAGACGCCATCCAAACAAAACACGTTTGTCGTGAGTCATATCAAGTCACGTGCAACACCTCAATACACAGTTTCCCTTTTTTTGTGGAGCTGAATTGAAGGTGCTGGTATTCAAGATCCGTTTTACTGACTTATTGTGGTAAGGATGTAGTTTCTGGCCACACCGTTGACAAACTATATAATAAGAACAGTGAAAACCAACTTCCTGTACTTTATTAATAGAATTCTGGACGTAGGCTTATACTGAACTCCCACAGGTCTTCATCTGCACTGCCCCTTACATTATTGGACACCAGTATAGCCTAAAAATACAAACCTAATTCTCATAAAATATATTGTAAGACCATTAAGTCTGGCTGGTTCGTTGTGTCATCGTTAATAGTGCGCCCCCCCAAA